CAATTTCGCACCACACTGACACTTCACGGGATGATGAAACACTTAACTAAATATTATACTATAAGATTTTATAACGCGTTCTAAACCTATTCTAAATATATTCTATACTAGTAATACTATAAGCTACTACTACTATACTTATTACTAATATATCCCTTATATCCTATATAAGTAGATTAAAATATATTTAGAATATATTCTTAATAGGTTATAGAAGCACTATTAATAGTACCTTGCCCTTAGCTATATCCTAGATAATATTAGGGTATAGCCTATAGTTAGCCCTAATAGGGTAGTTAAGATAAAGAGTAGAGAGCGCTACTACTATACTAAGATTAATAATAAGGGCACCTTATATAGAGTAAGAATAGGTTCTAAATATATTCTAAATAGGTTCTAATATTCTTAGGCTATTCTAGGTACTAGGGGCACTTTATATACCTATGCTAAAAAAGATTATAGGCTTAATATAGCCTACTATAAGGTTAGTAGGGTTAAGAAGACTAGCTAGCCCTCTATAAGGGAGGTCTATAAGGTAAAGAGTAAATATATTATTAACCTATTCTTAACTTATTATACTAATATATATAAACTTCTATATAAAGGTTATATATAATTACTAGAACACTCCTTACTATAAGTTATTTAGAATATATTTAAAACTTATTACTAACGTGTTTTATAGAAGTTCTCTAAGCCTAGCTAGTAGCTACTATAGGCCCCCCTGCAAATGCTAATGCGACCTTATAGATATGTAGAGTCTACCTCTAGTAGTACCTAACTAAAATAATGTTTTTTCCTAGTAGCAGATATTAGGCTATAGTTCTAATAGCTAATATATAGTTAAGCCTGTTCTATAATTTGCTAACTTATTATTAACACGTTTTAAATATATTTAAGTTTTGCTCCCTACTTAATTTACTATAGTCCTTATTATAGGATAATAAGATACCTAGTAGTCCTTATAAATCCTTAAAGAGAAGCGCTTAATAAGGCTATAATAATAGCTTCTTATTTATAGTTCTCTTTATAGAATTTTCTTAAGTACTATACTTTTTAAGGTTTAGATCTAATTATATAATATATTATTAATAATGTAATAAGAATATATTTATAACGTGTTCTTAAGATACTTACACGCTTTTACCCTAGAGTATTAGTATTTATACTAGCTTACTAGCTAGCTATTAAAGAATAGTAAAGTTATAGGCCTATTAAGATAGATAGACTAGCAGGAGTATTATACCTACTAGAATTAGAATAATTTAAGAACATGTTCTTAATATATTACCTATATAGCCTATATAAGCACCTCTTCTCTTATTAGGTAAGAGCTATCTTTATATTACTAAACTAGTATTATATACCTATACCCTTAGCTATATAATTAAGGGTATACTAGGAGAATAGCTATATACTTAATAATTACTAGTATAAGTAGTAGTCCTTAACTATTACTATAAGTAAGGTATATATTATACCCCTATAACATGTTACTAACCTATTCTAAACTTATTCTATTTACTTTTACTTACTTCCTTAACACTACTACTACTATCCTCCTCTAGCACTTTATATAGTTGCCTAAATTTATCTCTAATATTACTATCTAGTTTAGATATATTATCTAGTACTACTATACTAAACTCTAGTATAGTATTTAGGAACACCTATATATTATTAAGAATAGGTTTAGAATATATTTAAAAAAGATAGTAATAAAAACTGCGTTTACTTGCTTAAATTATCCTAATTTATACTTAACTATAGGCTAGTTTATATAACTATAAAAATTTGCCGCTGTGACGTAGACTTGAACCTACAGGGATATTCTAACCACTTGGAGTAAAGCCTAAGTCGCCCGACGCTAAACCCATGGTCATATGACATGCCACCACCTTGACTACTCGCCCCTCGGCGACTTCGGGTCTCATGGTCAATTGCTGCGTTGCTAGCAGGGGCGCTACCTAGCGTGACGCCATGTTTGATTTGTTTAGCTAAGGTCAGGGGTAATCTACCTACTGTACAGACTGGAGGGACATACACGTGCTGTGTGTATGGCGCAAAGTTTGTTGCGACTGTGTGTGATGGATTGGTAGGTAGGGGATGAGATGAGGGAGGTAGGTATGCTTGGTGTTGGGTTTGGTGGCGTTTTGCTGGTGCGGGTAGTTGGAAGTTAGGGTATTGTGTTGTGGTATTGGTAGTGTGAATTTGATGATTGTCATTCTACTCGTCCATAGTTCATCTTCATATACCATACGTACCTTGTAGTAGTTTGCCGCAACGAGAGTAAACACTATACTCCCACAGCCTTCGAACCTTGCACTTGATATCCAACCCCACGTTCCCACTCCACCAACGCCTGCGTCGCCTTATATGTAAGCGCCCTCTAGCGGCATAATACCCCCCCATTTCTCCTCTGTCGTAACGTTCCTTTCCCTCTGCTATTCCATCATTACCCCATGAATCACACACTTGCTCTGAATCGAAAAATCAGGAAACGCCTGTCTCTGCGTCGGCACCCAATCACACGGTTTCACCCCTCACACTTGGCTGACACACAAAGTTCTGAAGCCCAATGTGCAAGCATCCACGTGGGCAACGCGGAAGAAGTTTTCATTCTTCATCCACCCTAAAAGGAAAGAAGTATGCTAACAGAATGAGTTAGTGTGCTTGAGATTACGATTGATAGAGTATGCCTTTCCTGTGAGGATTATATCTTGACAAAGGAAATCACGGATGCAAAGAAGAAGACAACATCGAAGAGACGGAAAATGGAAAGCGACAATACATGATTCCGCCACATTGTTGCGCAATTTCAACACCACTCATCCTGTATTCGTCGACTATTAGCACCGTCACAGCCCTGGAAATGCGAAAAACTGCCTACCGGAAGATCGTAACCTTCTGTCAACAGGCTGTATTCCGTGTTTATCAATCCTTTCAAGCGTGGAGTCGTATTGGAGATGTAGACCCAAGATTGGAGTAAATGTACTTGTGCGCAGGAGGGGGCAGCATGATGGTACATGGTACGAAAAAAATCCATTATTCTTCTGATGACATTGAAAAGCACATATTGCTTCCCGGCCCCCCTGGCCTCGAAAAGAATGCTCAGCAAAGCCTACGATTTTCCAAGAACGAAGAGTTGCAACCTTGGAACTGGTGCTAGGAATGACGGGCTGGTGAGTTGATTTGGTTTCTGGAGATGAACGGGGCGGGCTTTGCTCATGTTAGACCTACTCTTCTGCAATAGTCAATTAAGCGCAGCCCTCCTCTTTCCACTCATCGTTCTCACCGTGTCCAAGAAGTCCTTACAGTGACATGCTTAGCGCAAGTCATCAGAAAAGCAAAGGCGTAGCAGAAGTGTAGAGATGGCTTTTGCTGAAACTAGCAGAGTCGAATGTTAGAAGGACTGGAAGCAGGCACTAGGGCACCTTTTGGACAACATTCTTGAGACCGCGATAAGGGGTGTTTTCCAGGTGATTGGGAAATCTGACTAGCAAATAATAACGCCAGCTAACGAGCACATTCGGTATTGAATTGAGTGGTAAGTAATCCCTAACAAGCACTCAATGTACTCGCACAACAACGCGGTCGGTACATCTTGGACACCACCTTGATTGGCAAATGACGGCAAGTAAAGACAAGTCTTTGTTCATTCCACTACCCACTTACCACAACGACTCAAAGCCTCCACCGCACTTCCCAACCTCAACCCCAACCCTCAAACACATGCTCACAGCACGAACACCACCAATCCATACATCCAGCCTAATCGTCACTCCGAGCCCTCCACACCCTCAGCATCGTCAGCACACCATCTACAACCCTACATTTCCGTCTCCGGCCTCAATAACCAAATGCAGCGAATAAACAGCACACCAGCCGTGATAGTTTCATGACGTCTCCTCTTTATCTAGCGTATCCGTGCCGCTATCGTTGTTTTGGCCTGCAAGATGAGGTGTACCGAGCGCTTGGCAGGTGTGGCCGATGCGACTGTATATTAGGCGGAGAAGCAAGTCTGCCGACGAATTTTCCATTTTATTCTTTTCTGGCAGGCTAGCCTGGTTCTTCTGCTGCATGCTAGGAATGTAGTCTACAGTACCGGACGTGTTCCTACCATGTTTGTTCTGAGCCCCTCAGGTACAGTGAGGACGGTAGTAGGTAGGTACCGTCCACCTTGCCCCAAGATATCCACCGAATCATGCCTACCCTGGTACCTACTACCTCTTCCACACTACATACCACTCAGGCCAGTCCACCCCCCTAACCCCAACTCCCCACCATCCCCCAAACCGGCCAAATTTACAAACTACACTTGTGCAAACCCGTCTATTACCGCATCAACATCCAGCCCATCCCGCAATCTGGACATTATACATGGCAACCATGGTCAATGTACCTGTACCTAGGCAGGGTCGGCGACCGTGGCCCCCCCGGTCCCCCTTCCCTCAAAACAGCCCCGGAAAAGAGGAAAAATGGAGTGGCGTGTTTCAAGTTTAGCGGGAAAAACGGGAAGAAATGGAGGGATTTCCCAGGTGGGTGGGATGTCTGGAGAGGGTTTTGAGGTTTGTATTTTGGGATGAGCAGGGGGTGCTGGTGGTGCTGGTACATGCCCGTGTACAAGTTGTATGCATGTACAGATGTAGTGTGTATATCTTTATACATGTTTACACACAGTCTAATGTCAGACGATCGCTGCTCAAGGGCCGAGCTCGAGCTCAAGGACAGTGCAATGTCGTAAAGCATTTAATTGCAAACGCCGGTAAGAGAATGAGATTGTCATCATGGTGTGGATCTTTTGGGGTCATCTACTTGCTGTAGAGTACGGTACCATATCGGGACTGGCACTTACGGATACCCACCACCCACTCTCACATGACCTTGCACCTCGCTATCCCGCCCCAACCCTCCACTCCATCCATCATCCACATTCACCATCCGCAAATCGTAAACCCCGTCCCTTCCAACTTCCCCATTTCCAGCACCGGAGAAACCACCGACGTCAAGATTTCCCCTCAACTCAACCCGGTACCCTTCCCCCCCCCCCTCTCGCCGATTTCCCAGCGATACAAGCGCATGCACAGACCCCAAACCAGGCACAAAAAACGACCAGGGGGAATGCCGGTCTCCAAACGCCGTTGATAAGCTTCAAACCCCGTGACGCGACAACGTGCGGTGTCGGTGTGGTGGGGTAGAACTATACGGTATACAGTTGGAGCCCATGTTTCGAAACAAAAGAAAAAACTGGTGGAAGGATTGCCGTCTCCACTTTACGCAGGTGCATATTTCGTAATTGTTTTAGCGCGGCGCCCGCGGGCGGCCTGGTTGGAAGCCGTGGGAGCGCGTTGTGGATGGAAGCGGGGCCGCATCCTTCTTTCACATATTGTACTGTGCTGTCTGACTTGACACTGACACTGACATGCTTGTCCTTGGGTGGGGGGCGCAAGACGTCATGTCAGACCACCGGGGCAAAGGGCTGTGTCGCGCATAGAGTGCTTACTGTGTGTACTAGGGACAGTGTTTGTTGGCAAGCTTTCGGGGGAATTGTGTACCTGGCACTTGGGTGGGGGAACATGAACATGGAGTCTGGGACCGCTGTGTGGTGGCATGTCATATAACCATGGGTTTAGCGTTGGGCGACTTGGGCTTTACTCCGAGTGGTTAGAATATCCCTGTAGGTTCAAGTCTACGTCACAGCGGCAAATTTTTATAGTTATATAAACTAGCCTATAGTTAAGTATAAATTAGGGTAATTTAAGCAAGTAAACGTAGTTTTTATTACTATCTTTTTTAAACATATTCTAAACCTATTCTTAATAATATATAGGCGTTCCTAAATACTATACTAGAGTTTAGTATAGTAGTACTAGATAATATATCTAAACTAGATAGTAATATTAGAGATAAATTTAGGCAACTATATAAAGTGCTAGAGGAGGATAGTAGTAGTAGCGTTAAGGAAGTAAGTAAAAGTAAATAGAACAAGTTTAGAATAGGTTAGTAACACGTTATAGGGGCACAATATATACCTTACTTATAGTAATAGTTAAGGACTACTACTTACACTAGTAATTATTAAGTATATAGCTATTCTCCTAGCATACCCTTAATTATATAGCTAAGGGTATAGGTATATAATACTAGTTTAGTAATATAAAGATAGCTCTTACCTAATAAGAGAAGAGGTGCTTATATAGGCTACACAAGTAACACGTTAAGAACATGTTCTTAAATTGTTCTAATTCTAGCAGGTATAATACTCCTGCTAGTCTGTCTATCTTAATAGGCCTACAACTTCACTATTCTTTAATAGCTAGCTAGCAAGCTAGTATAAATACTAATACTCTAGGGTAAAAGCGTGTAAGTATCTTAAGAACATATTATAAATATATTCTTATTACATTATTAATAACGCATTGTATAATTAGATCTAAACCTTAAAAAGTGTAGTACCTAAGAAAATTCTATAAAGAGAACTATAAATAAGAAGCTATTATTATAGCCTTATTAAGCGCTTCTCTTTAAGGATTTATAAGGACTACTAGGTGTCTTATTATCCTATAATAAGGACTATAGTAAATTAGGTAGGGAGCAAAACTTAAATATATTTAAAACGTGTTAATAATAAGTTAGTAAATTATAGAACAGGCTTAACTATATATTAGCTATTAGAACTATAGCCTAATATCTGCTACTAGGAAAAAACATTATTTTAGTTAGGTACTACTAGAGGTAGACTCTATATATCTATAAGGTCTTCTAACTAGGGAGATATTAAATCTTTCTAGTAGTCCTGCTTTATATTCTATAGTTAAGCTATAGTTAAGCTAGATAAAGAAGTGTGGTAGGCATATTGCAACCTATTCCTAACACGTTCCTAATATATTCTAGGCGTTAATTATCTATAAGGGCAAGGATCTCTATTTAAAATCCTATATAAAGTTATCTTCTAAGTAATTATACTAATAGATATAGTAGCAATACCTTTTTTTGCTATTATTTCTTTTAGTATATATATATATATACCTCCTCCTCCCTTAACACTATCTAATAGTAATATTAAGGAAGTAGTAAAGGTATTGTAGCCTATGCTTACTCTATAGCTTACATAATATAAGTTATTTGCAACCTATTACAAACATGTTCCTAACTTGTTATAGCCTAGTTCCTAAACTTAACCTAGCTCTAAACCTATCTCTAACTTAAAGGTTTCTATTCTATTAAAGAAATATATATTAGCTTTGTAAATAAAGATAAAATCTTGCGTATTATAAAGCGTGAAAAGCTTCTATAGTTCCTATTTAAGAGTAGCCTTAGAGGAGTACACTATAAGTAGAGGATAAAGCATTAGGATCCTAAAACTATACGTAGTGTAAGAGAACAGGTTTAGAACACATTACTAACACGTTACTACAGGCGTATATATAGCAAATCTTTATATTAAGCTTAGGTAACTTAATTATTTGCCTTTTTAAAGAGCAGGTATTAATTCTATTAGATTAAGACATGTTCTAGATAGATATATTATATAAGAGGTTATATAGGGTATAGGTAGAGATTCTAATAGTAATCTTCTACCTATAGGAAAAGAAGTGTACGCATTAAGAATAGGTTTATAACACGTTTCTAACACGTTGTAGTTATTACACTTAGCTAAATTATTATAGATAAGGATATAACTAAGATATATTAAGTTACTATTACTAACTTCTTTTAGAAGTGTAAAGCACTTATAAAAAGATAAGTGTTATAGAGGTATATTTACTTATAGGGATTCTATAGGACTACTATTAATATATGTAACAAGTAGATAATAGGCAAGTTTTATAGCGCACTGTAACATGTTTATAACATATTTCTAACTTGTTTCTAGGACTTAGGCGCTATCTCTAGTTAATTAATCCCTATAAGTGTAACTAGCGCTAGCAACTTTAATCTTATATAAGATTTTATTAAGTATATCTATAAAGAAGTATTTATAAAGTATATAAAAGAGAGCTAGATAATACTACCTCTTTACGTCTAAGTAAATTACTACAGGCATTAATAGTAGAGGAATACTTTTAGCTTACTAACCTCCTCTTATATAAGTAAATATATTCTAAACCTATTCTAAATATATTCCTAACTTATTCTTATATAATTAGAACACAAACCCTCTAAAGATACCTAAAACTAGGTAATCTATAAGAAAAACCTAGTAATTACTACTAGGATTGTGTAATGCTATAGTAAAATATTAAAAGAGGTATAGGAAAAACTAGAATCTTATTTAAATATAGCTAAGCAAGTAGGCTAGAAAGGATATAAAACTAGTAAGCATGTAAGTATTCTTAAGGCCACTTAGAAGTAAGTTTATAACCTATTCTTAACCTATTAGAATTGTATAAGTAATATTATATAGTGCACACTAGATAAATCTATAGGATATAAAAGAGTTTAAAGCCTAGAGCAAGTTTAGAATATACTATAACTATAGAACTCCTAATAGGCTTAAGCAAAGGTACCTTAAAAAGCTTTAGAGGGGAGAAAGTAAGTCTTACGCTAGTGTTATACACATTTGCTAATTAAAACGTGTTTAGAACGTGTTTAGAACATATCCTATAATAATAATAACACTCTAGATAATAATAAAGCAAGTCTTGCTATATCTAACTTAACTAGATATATCTTAGTCCTAATAAGAAATAAAAGAGCACGCTTAAAAGCCTAAAGCTAGAGGGCAAGTAGTAGAGCAGTATTAGAAAGAAGTTTACTAGCCTATTTTCTATCTTCTCTACTACTAGGCTCTTCTCCTCTACTAATAGTAACCTAAAGGTATGCTTTGCAAAACACGTTTATAACACGTTCCTAACTTATTATTAGTCTATAACTATAAACTTTATAATAAAAGGCTCTTCTTAGTAATTAAGCTCTAAAGAAGAGAAAAGAAAAGCTAGAGGTAGATAAGGAAGAACTTGTATAGAAAAAGGCACTATTTAAATTGCAAAAGGCATAGTTTAAACTTAAGAAAGAGATAGCTACTTTTTATATAAGGTAGGGTTAGTCTATAAATATAGTAACTAGTTCCTAACTAGTTCTTAATATATTCTAGTCTATTATATAAGTATATATAAGTAGATAAATATATATTCTTTCTTCTTCTCTTTCTTCTTCTTTCTTCTTACACTCTACAAGAACTTTTTATATTTAAGAGTTTAATACTATTTTACTATCTATCTTTCCTAATATTATTAGATATAACTAGTTAATATAGTCTATAAAGATCTTTTAAAGTTAGTATATAATAGAACACGTTAGGAACATGTTGTAAACTTGTTCTAACACTAAGTAGGATTTATACTAGCAATATATTAAGCTTAAGTTACTTCTATCTAATACTAGGGTATTCTCTCCTATAATATCCTACCTAAATAATAGGTGTATAGTATTTCCTAGCAAGCTTTTCTACTAGGCTATTTAGGCTAGATTAGGGGTATAGGAACTTTATAGAGTATATATATATATAAGTTAGAACACGTTTATAATATGTTAATAACTATTTTAGCGTTACTTCTCTAATAGAGGCAATCTTATCTACTACCTTAAGAGGTATTATCCTAAGGTTTAAATAGCCCTAGTAAACTATAGCAGAACTATAATACAAGGCATTATAGAAGCAAGGATCTTCTATAGGAGCTTAATAGTAAATACTTAAGAACGTGTTCTAAACACGTTAATAATATATTCTCTGCTAGTAGAGTAGACTATACTAAGTGCCTCCTCTAAGGTTTAAGAACCCTCTAAGATAGCTAGTCTATAATAAGAAGTAGTAGCTAGAGTAGAGGCTAAAGAGGAAGCAGAGAGTAAAGAAGAGGAGCAAATAGTTACTCCCCTTTACACTATAAATAATATTTAGTAAAAGTAGTAAAAAGGAGATATAAGTCTAGTCTCTTAAAATATGTTTAGAATATGTTAATAATATATTATAGCTAGATACCTATAAATACTAGATTCTTCTTTAATCTAAGGGACTACTAGAGCTTTATAATACCTATAAAAGTTAAAAGAAAAAGTTATATACTATTAAAGGACCCTATAAAAGTAAATAGTACTTTACTTTTAGTAGATAGAAAAAAAAAGAGAAGAGTAGAGAGTTTATTTTAGTAATTACTACTACCCCTTTAGGTTATATACTATTATATATTGTTTATTAGAACCTATTCTTAACACGTTCTTAACGTGTTCCTACTTGTTGCTATTATTATCTCCCTCCCCCTCTCTAGTATCTTCTCTATCCTCCCTATCCTCCCTAGGCTCTACAAAAGTATACCACAAGTAGAACTAGGCAGTATTCTAGCAGGAATTAGTAAGGTCTATACTAGTATTAAAGTAATAGTCTTAAAATATATTAGGAATAGGTTAATAATATATTATAAATAACTTACTATAGCTAGGATAATTATAAGCGTAGATAGTATAAGGAACCTAATAACCTTAAATCCTTAATAGGGTAGATATAGTAATAAAGTTAAGCTATAATAAGTTAGTAACGTGTTTTTAATAGGTTCTTATAGGCTATACCTTATTACTATTATAGCTACTATAAGTCTTCTTCTAAATTATATTTAGGAGGGTATTAGTATTTATAAGAGGGCCTATAGTAGCTACTAGCTAGGCTTAGAGAACTTCTATAAAATATATTAGTAATAAGTTTTAAATATATTCTAAATAACTTATAGTAAGGAGTATTCTAGTAATTATATATAACCTTTATATAGAAGTCTATATATATTAGTATAATAAGTTAAGAATAGGTTAATAATATATTTACTCTTTACCTTATAGACCTCCCTTATAAAGGGCTAGCTAGTCTTCTTAACCCTACTAACCTTATAGTAGGCTATATTAAGCCTATAATCTTTTTTAGCATAGGTATATAAAGTGCCCCTAGTACCTAGAATAGCCTAAGAATATTAGAACCTATTTAGAATATATTTAGAACCTATTCTTACTCTATATAAGGTACCCTTATTATTAATCTTAGTATAGTAGTAGCGCTCTCTACTCTTTATTTTAACTACCCTATTAGGGCTAACTATAGGCTATACCCTAATATTATCTAGGATATAGCTAAGGGTAAGGTACTATTAATAATACTTTTATAACCTATTAAGAATATATTCTAAATATATTTTAATCTACTTATATAGGATAAGAGGGATATATTAGTAATAAGTATAGTAGTAGTAGCTTATAGTATTACTAGTATAGAATATATTTAGAATAGGTTTAGAACATGTTATAAAATCTTATAGTATAATATTTAGTTAACCTCGCTTAGCTAGCTAGTAGAGCTTGGCACAGCCTAACCCTATGCTAAATACAAGTTCACGCAGCGCTAATTCCATGGTTATATGAACTGCGCCCTTAACCGCTGTTGCGAATAAAAATGTACGACCCAGGATGTCGGTTAGCATCGCATGGCTGGCAGTTCAGTGGGCATCTTGGCCACGAAGAAGAGAATGCCTTGAAAAGGGACAGCTGGTTTAGGGTTGGTTGTTTCAGATGTTTTCTGCCCTTGAAGTATAATCAGGTGCACCAAAGGGATATCATTGAATCTTCGTCAAGACAAAAATAGCCACACAACGGGCACGGAGAAATTAAGAACCGAATCAGCGGTACCTGGCAGGGAACAGATTGTTGATAGCGACAGAGATGTAGGCGGCGAACACTTCGCGATGCCAGGATTGAAAAAAAAAAGAGGAAAAAGATATCGTGACCTCTTTCTGCCCAAAGGGAAACAATGCCGTGAAACAGTTATGCGCCGGGTATTATGCTAAAAAAGTGTGCTCCCAAGTAGATTGCCGTTACGAACGAGGGAGATGAAAGAAACAGAGAGTACCACCACAGTAATCCATAGTAGTGGCGGGGTCTACCTAGATGGGTAGACGAGTGCAGCGCATGAGGAAACCATGCTCACGCGTCTTATGCAGCGAGATTCGTGATCAACGCGTGTTTCGTTTCGAAACCAAACAAAGTTTTTGCGTCTTTATGCGAGGGAATCCATAAAGTCCATCAAGGATTTTCGCTTACGCAGTGCTCTATTCTTCACGGCCGCTCTCGCCTCGTCATCGCTGCTGGGAGGAAAGTCGGGTAGAACGAGTGTCGGCTCAATCTCGTTCGCCCCTCGGGCTACCATGCGTGATGTCCGCTGTTGCATCGTATTGCCGCTGAGTTGTGGTAGTGGAGGTGCAGCCGACTGTGTAGAGTACCGCACGTTTTCGCCTTGACGAGACTTTGGTCTGAGAATCGTCGATGCGCGGCGAAGTTTGTTGGGACCAGTGAAGCTGTTTGGCCGTTCCAGGGGAGCTGTTTGTGGAGTGGACGGCGTCAGGGGTGTAGACGGTACTCTGCTGTTTGCACGCGCGTCGAATTGCTTCTTTGCTGGCGAGATTGCGATTTTGGCCAGCGCAATCTTGAGGGAAATGCTTCGTAAGCGTCGATGTCCTGCTTTCTTGATAATGGGCGATGACGAGTCTGTAGTCGAGTTTTCGTATGGATCAGAACTGAGAAAAGATAGGGCGGGTGACTGAGGCGCCAGCTGTGACTGTCGGTAGAAGCTTTGTGTAGTGCGGGTACGGTTCAGGTCCAAGGTGGACTGGTTGGGAGCATATACGGATGAGCGAGAGGAGGATGGTATTCCAGCTGGCGAAGCCGACGGCTGGACTTCGCTGTAAGCCGGCGATACGCTGCGACTCGATCCTGCAGTTGTAAAGGAGGTGGAAACGGAAGCGGTGTCGTGTGGGGCAGTCATGTCTTTTGTTGCAGGGCTGTAGCTTGTGGATGGTCTTCGGGGAGGTTCAATATCGACGGGAGAGCTGGGACGAGTACTTGATGAAGGAGCTAAACGGCTCATGGCATTGAGTGTCATGGATTGACGTTGCGTCTTGTCGCTGTCCTTCAGTCCATGCATGGGTGCAGCCGAGACGTGAGCAAGAGACGCAGATCGTAGTTGCATTGCTGGGCGATCCAAGGGAGAGCGGCAGTCTTCCACCACCTTTGGGCGACCTGCGAAAGCGTATGAGACCGTCACAGCCATATCACAGCTCTTGCCCTTGTTCCATCGTGAGACTGATAGCGTCCTCGCCTTGCACTCCTTGGTTGGATCATAGATGACTACATCATCGTAGTCATATTCGGACTCTGAATCCGAGCCGGCAGTGGTCAAGTCTTCTTCAGACGAGTTGTAGCGGTCGTTGAAGATGGCACCCTCTTTTGCAATTTCGTTGGCCGCAGCAGTGTCCAGTCTCAAAGTGTCTGGGACATCGTCGCACAGGTTCGGGCTCGATGCGGCTGAGCTGGTTCGTTGAGGGTGCGTAGTCAGCACGGGCTTATCAAACGTCCATTCGGACAGCTGGGTAGCGAGGTCGACCATTGTTGCTGTCGAAGCGTGCGAATTAGGTTACTATTACTGTCGAGTTGCAAGAATCTTGCCGGCCAGCGCAGGTGTTATACTATCAGACTGGGCGGCAGCTGATGAAGCATGAAACGACAGGCGTCCAGACCTCTACGCGCCAATGGTGTGGAAGTAGGGTGCGTGGCTGTAGGAGGCACAAGGTAAGCTGCCGTCTGAGTGAGGTGAGACTTGTCGTGTCACACAGATCCGACCTGGTTTGCGTGAGAGATGGCAGGCTTGGGGGGTGGGAAGTCTGTCACAGAGGGGTAAGCTGAGGGTGGCCGTACTAGAGAAGGCCGAGTAGGTAGAGTAGCCAACAGTATATCAGGTAGTCGGCGGGCACGATGCCCTGGTAAATGACATGTCGGCCAAGCCTTGCCCCTGGCATGCTTCGAGGTTTCAAGTACAGCCGATTTGGCGGAGACGGCAGACGGGCAAGGATAGCCCAGACTGGCCAGCGGGGGCAGAATCGACAACGTGCCCAATCTCATCCGTGCACGGCATGTCATGTTCCCTCTTGGCGCTGGTGGTTGACGATTGCGTGCAGTTGCTGCAGCCAGGAAGCCGCTTGTGCTAGTGAAGGGGGTTGTGGTTGTGGTTGTGGTTGTGGAGGTGGTTGTGATGGTGGTTGTGATGGTGGTGGTGATGGTGGTGGTGCGGAGACCCAAGGGGGCGCATTCGAGTGGGTGAAGTCTGGTCCCACGGGGGGGGGGGGCAACGCCTGTCCACACAGCGCCTACCAAAGCCATCGCCCCGTCGTAGCAAGGAGAAAAAAGGTCTCATTAGCGACATGGCAGAAATGGGATTTGAAGAAATTGGGATCGGAATGCACGACTCGTCCAAGCGAAGGGAACACTTGTCTCTTGCGCATAAAAACCCCTTCATTTTGGACATCTCGCCATGAATCGCGCTGCTCGCTAGCTGCCGAACTTGGCTTTTGCGGTGCAGGGGCGCTCCAATGGCAACCCACACTCTGTCTCCACCACCTCTAGTACATCTCTATCCCTCACTACTACTACGCACAGAACTTGGTGGTCAGTGGACACCCACCAAAACGAGCCAGAGCCAGAGCCAGAGCCATAACAGTCTAGCCATGAACGGGGGCACCACACTTGCCCTGACTGACCGCTCTAACCGCAGGTACCACGCCGTATCTCTTCGCTACTGTTGCATAGTACTACTGTACTTACTTGTCCCCTACACCCTCCGTGAAAAGAGACGGGACCCTCTTTTTCTCAGACTTCGACTCTTGGTCACCTCGCTTCCATGGCAAACCGCACAATTCCCACCCCCCGCGGATGTTGCACAGTCTGGGTATGTAGGCATTGATATTGTAGCGTGAGATTTCAGCTCCTCCGCTGGTAAGGTATGCTCTTGCAGACCCGCAGGCCACGGGATCAGTCAACACGCGTCTGCCATCGCTCTCTTCTCGGCAACACTGCCCTGGGAAAAAGCTACGATGGTGCTAGGTGCATACCGCTCACGCGGCTTCCGGCACCCTCATTCGTCCACTCGACCTACTCGTTCGGCTCAATGAAGATCAAAAAGCACGAATAGACGATCCACTGATGGCAGATCTCTGTGGGTCACGCTCTCAACCATGAGCCAGTCGCAATACACCTGAATGATGGCGAATCACCAAAAATTCCGTTGGATAGCTCCACGGTGGTAGGCAGATATGGTCAACACCGCCCCAAAACTGAGCTTGCCCCTCGTTGAGGTGGTGTGGACAAGGTTAGTAGGTCGTGGTGTCGGCTCGGCAATCTACCCATATTGCAACTTGTATAAAGCAAAATTTGATTTCGGATAATAGGACCGTCCGTGGCTTTCAAAATCGACGAACCTACGATATTCAGAGGAACCAGTAGATCATTCGAGTTAAGAGGGCTGCAAACTGAGCAGCTGGACCCGAGCTTCTGCTGTTTTTGGCAACTTGCGTCGCATAAAGTGCGTCGTCTGCTGTCCAAATTGAACGCCTACATGATCTGAGTGCTCTATCGGACGCTGTCAGTTCAAGTCAGATCCTGAGCGTTGCCCTGTCGTGAGACTCTTCATGGTACACGCCATAGCACATCACTCGCATCTTTGCCGCACATAGCCGAAGTTACAGTTGTATCGCTGAGCACGACGATAACACCAAGGAAGCAGCCATCGCGATAAGCTGCGGTCTCACACAGCACAGCATGAGCTGAGTAGTCAACTAGGATCTTGCTAGTCGACATTTTGCTCGCTCTTGCCGTCGTTGCCACGTTCGTATGCTGTGTTACAGACTCTGGCCCCGGACATCTGGCCCTGACGATCCCGGCCGTCTTGCACTGGCCCTGTTGTCCGACCCTTTAAAGACATTGCCTCGCAGGGCGTTGATGAAGAGGATTTCCGTCAAGCTGGCCTGACATGCGTGCTGGAAAGTGGAAAGCACTTACTGTGTCCACATACATACCTACTGCATGGGTGAGCCAAGTGGGTCATCGACTATATCTCTTGCATCCGGCGACGCCAGACTTGTCTACGAAGTACTCTAGAGTATGTCGTCTCCCAGCTATTTTTGCATCGACCCTTCTACTACTTTGTCTACAACTACCGACCAAGTAACACATATTGCTAACCCAAACTTCAAAGTCCGACGTTCAAGTAGTCTATCCTCGTAAGCGCTGACACTGCCCAGACCTTAGGTCGTCGTGTAACATCACGTACCACACCAACACATGCATGCCGACAGGATCCGAAACTGACATGTAAATGTCTCAATATGGGGTCCCGACGAGCGCCGGCTGGTGTGGATACTGAGTAGCCTCGTGCACACACAACAAGCAACTGCACTGCGTGCTTCCAGCAGCACCCCACTTGGTACGGTATGGTCAGGACACTCATGCAGGGCAGAACAATGTTTTAGTAACTGTATCGAGATGCACACCAGCCTGAAACACCCAAGTGGTTGAACCCGATAACGCTGGTTTCTGCAGTGCAGCATTGGTCTTGAATGCTCAAAACGATCGAGTAACCCATGATGTCATCGTATACGCAAAACGCCAACACTTGTATGGAGTCGGCCGGTAGTCGTCATGGCTGCCAACACACCACACCTGCAAACCATCACAAGCGATCCATCAAGCCGGCTACCCGTCAACTCCCGCGGACTAAAAAGCACGCGACTTGTTTCCTAGATCGTGACAACGTTCGCTATGGATACTGCTCAATCGATCGTTGAAGAAATTCATGCAGGTGGCTTCAGACGCAGTGTACTTGTATGCACACATTCCCTGTTGGCAGCTGCGATATTTCTAGGCGGTGGTACTGGGGGGTAGAGATGTGAAGTAAGATGAATAGGCGACTCTGTAAGCCTTTGGAATCTGCAATGCATTGGGGTTTCCTTTGCGGGACTGTGCTATGCTGACTTTGAAGAGGCTGGGTTGGTAGGGTACTATAGATGTCTTCACAATAGAGGACATCGTGACGATGCAGTCTCACTGGCCCTTCTTGCTAAGTATTCCCTACATGTACTACCATGATCATCTGCTTAGGTTTCCAACTGTACGAGATGGTCAATGCTGCTGCGTTACGCGTGCGTATCATTGATAGCCAACGTGACATTTACTATATCTTTCCAAGAAACATGTTCATCGCCTTGGGCTTTCTTCCCTTTCAAAAGGGGTATTACATGCCAACTGTAAGAGTACCGGAAGACCGTGTTAAAGGAAGAGCTCGGGGTTGTTTGCCTCCCGAAATCGGTCCCACGCGGCTAGGAACGGTTCCGCTGAATCGGGAGTTTCCTCCCCAGCACAATTCCCCATTGCGGAGAACAGACAAGTGTCTTATGGGGGACCATGGGAATAGCACGACGCTGAGCAGCTACAGACGTGGGAATTCCGAAACTTGCAGAGTAGTACAGCTTTTCATGGATTTTTCCAGCCGATGTTCTGGGTGTTTTGTAAATGCCCTGTCAGATTTACCTTAGCGGTATCGCACTTGATCCCGAGCTGGCTTCGCATCCCCACAACCGAATAGCCGAACCAGCATGACCATCTCAACTACAGGATCAGTAATCTCTACCATTGTCCTGAGCAAAACAACACGAAGCATCAGACACGACCAGCACCACTTCCAACTCGAAACCGCGATGTCGTCGGATCACCCAATACCCCGAAAGCTCTGGCAGCATGCGGACCCAAAGTCAACGGAAATGTGGCGATTCATGCAACGCGCGAATCAGACTCGGGGGCTGAACATGCAGGCAAGTTTGTCACATTCCAGCTTCCTCTCTGCAGTACTTGGGTGCGACGCTTCAAAGGCGCTTGTGTCTCAACCCCTGTTCATCACTTCCTCCTGTGGTGAGACTTCCAGCCTTCCACTTTCAGCTCTCGGCCACATGAGCCACCAGCGCTTGCAGATGTGGTGGCAATGGAGAATTCTGGCGCTCATGGCTACTTGGTTCCTGAGTACAGACTGCAAGGTCTATTGTTGTCGTGAGCGTTGATAGAGTTCATTGGATTACTTCGAGACCGTTCTTGGGGGAGACGAAAACTCTATTTCTTCTTGTCTTACAGACTAGAGTTAATCGTCGTGACTTGGTACACTTGTTCGCATACCAATGTTCTGGAAGAGATGGAGGTAGCGACTCGCTAACCTTGTGGACCCAGAACTTTCGTGAGCTCTACGAATGGAGCGTTGGCGACAATCGAACGGACTTCTGGCAGGACATGTGGTCCACTAGTAGGCTGATTCATGATGGCACGTTCACACAAGTAGGTAGACCACCCTGGTACACATTTTGGATATTCTTACAGCTGGCAAATCAAGGTCGTTGATACTTCAATACCCATGGACCAAATACCACATTGGTTCCACGGCACATATCTAAACTATGCGGAGAATATTCTCTTCTCAGCGTCTACTGAAAACCCATCGATACGGGTTAAAAAGCACAAGGAAGACGACAAGATTGCATTGACTGAGATACGTGAAGGCAACACCGAAGTTCGACATCTCAAATGGGGTGAATTGCGCCGTAGAGTAGGTTTGCTCGCCAACGCGCTCCGAGCAAGAGGCGTGAAGAAAGGAGACCGCGTTGCTGTCATTGCTAGCACCAGTTTTGATACCTTCATCACGTTCATGGCAACTGTGAGCCTCGGCGGTCTCTTCAGCTCTAGCAGTACGGATATGGGAACGAAAGGAATCCTAGAACGCTTGCTCCAGATCAAGCCTCGTTATGTTTTCGTGGACGACTGGACTGTATACAATGGTAAAACTATTGATCTCCGACCGAAGATCAAGGACATCATCGAGGGCATGCACGGTATATCCGAATTCCAAGGTGTGATCACACAGCCCAGGTTTCCTGGAAAGCCAGCGGATATAACTGGACTGCCACGTACTGTGACATTGGAGGCCTTTCTGGATACTGCCAAAGGAAATGTTGAACTGAATTTCGAAAGGGTAGCGTTCCGCGATCCGTTCTTGATAGTCTACTCCAGTGGAACGACCGGTACTCCCAAGTGCATCGTTCACTCTGTAGGCGGAGTTCTCATCAGCGTTTCAAAGGAGGGCATTTTGCACAAAGAGCAAGGACCCGACAGTATAATGTTGCAATACACCACCACCGGCTGGATCATGTATCTCGCCTCGGTACAGTGTCTGCTCTTCGGCTCCCGCAGCATCCTCTACGACGGATCTCCATTTCAGCCATCCCCTGAAACCTTCCTGACTATTCTTCAAGAACAACGTGTCACTGATTTCGGAACATCGCCACGCTTCCTCCATGAACTACAAAAGCGAGATATCGTTCCGCGCAATCTCTACAATCTCTCCGCACTACGCTCTGTCTGCACCACCGGGATGGTTCTTTCAGACTCGCAGTTTGAATGGTTCTACGACGTGGGCTTCCCGTCATCCGTAAAACTCGCGAATATCAGCGGTGGCACAGATCTTGCCGGATGCTTTGGCATTGACTGCCCAATCGAACCCGTCTACGTAGGTGGCTGTCAAGGCCCATGTCTAGGAACGAAACTAGAAGTCTACGACAGCCTCATCGAGACCGGCCCTGGAAAAGCAGTGCCAGATGGTGAACCCGGTGAGCTTGTCGCTACTGCTTCCTTCCCCAACCAACCCGTTTTCTTCTGGGGCGACGAAAGCGGAGAAAAGTACCAAAATGCATACTACACACGCTTCCCACACGTATGGACTCATGGCGACTTCATCCAAAAACACCCCATCACCGGTCAAGTTCTCTTCCTCGGCCGCGCAGACGGCGTGCTCAATCCCAGTGGCGTGCGCTTTGGCTCGGCGGAAATCTACAGCGTCATCGAGACGTATTTCCCGGAGATTGCAGATAGCATTTGTGTTGGGCAGCGCAGGCCTCAAGATAATGATGAGAGCGTCATGCTGTTTTTGAAAATGAATGAAGGATTCGAGTTCACGGAGACATTGGTTGAAAAGGTCAAGACGAAGATTAGCAAAGAGAGGAGCAGGAGACACGTGCCAAAATATGTCTTCCAAACATGGGATATACCAGTCAGTCTTGTTTCCTTGATCTCATTCCTTGATCTCAGCGCTACCTGTTGCTACCATACTAACACCAGATAGACGACTGTAAATTTGAAAAAGGTGGAATTGCCAGTCAAACAAATTGTATCGGGTAAGAGAATCAAGGCCAGTGGCACCTTGGCAAACCCCGAGAGTTTAAAGTATTATGAGCAGTTTGCAAAGGTCGAGGAAGTGCTTGAACGCCTGAGAAATGGGAAGATTCACGGGAGAAGTAGACTGTGAACTAGATATATATAACGATATACAAACAGTAACCATCCGTCCTCAAATTACCGACCATCCGTCTTCAAACAGTCGCATCCACCAACGGCCAATTAATCCCCTTATCCGCCGCCCCCGTATTCCCCAACCCCGCACAATTATACAACCCAACGGGATTATTCTGCGTCGCCCTCAAATACTGCAAATCCAAACACTGCTGCGTCCCCGTCGACGCCTGCAACGCAATCCTCCCATCATCCTGCGCAACCCACTTTTGCTGCTCGTTATCCGCGCATTCACGGATATACACGTTGGCCATGTCTTTCCAGCCGCTCTTGGGTCCGGCGTCCATGCATAGGGTTGTGTCGGCGAGTTGGATGCTGGTTGCGTTGGGTTTGATGTACCATTGTTGGTCGGGTGTGGAGGTCAAGGTTTGTCTGGGATGGGTGTGTTAGTAGGTCATGGATGTAGTGTAAGGTGTGAGACTTACACGACGAGCGTGGTGCCTGCTGTTCTTGCTTTGGGGACAATGACGAATTTCGTGTCTTGTTTGGATGTGATGTAGACTCTTCGATAGCCGTCTGGGATCTGGGCGAGACCAGTTGCGGCGAGCGTGAGTGCGACGAGAGTGCTGGATAGCATTTTTTTTTGAGTCAGGGCAGTGTCTTTGAGTTGGGACTATCATTCGAATTGTGTCAGAGGATGTGAAGCAGACACGTATGCTATAAAGCAGAGAACTCTGCTCGGGTTTCTAGTCATGTTTAATCAAGCTTTGTTGTTTACTTGCTAATGATGCTTGATTCCATATTGAGCACATAGATCGATTTCGTGGGGCCGATGTGGAGTTTGATAAATGTGGGGGGTCGATACTGGGGTACGGTGATGGAAGTTGTATGACAACAATCTAACGTTTATCCGTATCCACATTATCTTACCGGTAGTTGATCCTGGTTCGCGTCAACATGGCCGAGCTCAAATGAGCTAATTGACCAGCCTTTTCGTCATTGAGCTTACGCAGAATCCACGCGCTTCTCTGCATGCCTTTTTTGTCCTTCTGCCTTCAGCTGGTCATCATCTTTCCTTTCAAGAGCGACCTGCGGCATCAAAAACCACGCAAGGAAGAATGAAAAGGCATTGAGTGCCGCTCCCACGATGAAGATAATCTTGAAGCCATCGCGGTAAGCTGATGCAAGTGCAATACGAGCCATCTCGGTACGTTGTTCGCCAAAGGCTTCGCGGAAGATGCCTGGCGAGTTGAGCAAGAGCTGTACATCGGGCCTTGACAGCTCCTGAGTGTTGAGACTAGTAGCCACGACATTGTTGATGATTGTACCAGACAAGGCTAGACCAAGAGTGCCTCCTAAGTTGCGGACAAAGTTTCTGGTGGATGTCACGACCGCCATGTGCTTTCGTTCTACTCCAGCTTGAATCGCTATCAGCGAAGGCTGGAGGGTATTGCCGAGCCCGAAGCCTGTCAGAAGCCCAAAGCCAATCTGTTGACCAAGCGATGGACTGTCAAGGGTAGAGTATAGACCAAGTCCAATGGCCCAGACTGCCCATCCTAAGAGTAAACACTCTCGATATCTTCCGGTCTTGTGGATGACCAATCCCGAGAGCGTGCTGAACAACGCTATTACTGATTTAGTATAAGCCATATTTATCGTGAGACGTAACATACTTTGAGTCAATGTGATCGGCAGCAAAAGCGCTCCTGACTTGACGGCTGAGTAGCCGTAGACAAGCTGATAGAATGTCGGAATGTAGTAAACCTGGACGAGGAAGTTCCATCCATTGACAAACATTGACAGTGTCGCTCCATTGACTACTTTCGACTTGAAGATGACCACTGGTACATCTTAGGTTGGTGTCAAGACAATTCCGACAGTGGTACCTACATGGTATCAGAGGAACCGAAGTACCCTTCCATTGCCACATCACGAATACTAGCATAACGCAGATGCCAAGTACCAAGGTGGTGATGACTTGGACGGAATTCCAGGCATATTCGCCACCAGCCCAAGTTAGAGATAGCTGATATGTTAGCTGGAACGATCGATTGGAGTCTGAACTTACCACGAGCAACGTTGATCCTGATAAAGATAGAACGCATCCTGGGAAATCGATAGCAGCCACTTTCCTAGTTCCGTCAAGGTGATGAAGAATACCCCAGTGTAGTGTCCACCTACCTCTTCCAGTTGCCATTCACTTTTCTCAGAGGCATGAAAAAGTACACACACGTTGTAGTGAGCACACTCAAAAACAAATTTAAGCGGAAAATCCATCTCCAAGAACCATGCCCACGAGACGCAAACGCACCTCCGATGACAGGACCGATGCCATTAGCGAGCGCAACAACGGATCCTAGGATACCCTGATACTTTCCTCTCTCGCGAAGCGGTACGATATCGCTGACAATCATCTGAGCAACGCTCATGAGACCACCGCCGCCGACACCAGTGAATGCACGGAAGATGATCAGTTGTGTGGCTGATGTTGCCAAGGATGCAGCTAGAGATCCAAAGAAGAAGATGAAAATGCCAGCGACCAGCAGAACTTTTCGAGACCAAATGTCTGACAGCCTGCCGTAGAGAAGTTGGAAAGAAGTCGATGTGAGGAAATATGCCCCGGCAATCCAGGCACTTTCCGAACTCGCTCCAAGCTCTTTACTGACGATTGCTAAACTTGCAGCAAGCGTTGTCTGGTCCATTAATGCCAGGAGATCGACTGTCGCGCAGGCCAGGAATATCTTAGAACTAAGTCAGTAGTGGACAGGACTGTGGATGGGATTATTACCGTAATGATAGTTTTTACTGGTACATAGTCTGCGTACAATGTTAGACGTGATTTTGTGACCATGTATTGTGATTGAGATGGCCGGGTGTCGTTTCAGTTTGCAGTGAGAAATCACAGCTGGATCATACGACTACGTACTGGTCTGCTCATTAAATTCCGGAGCTTGCTTTGCCGCTGGAGTCTGTACCCCGTCTTTTTCAACCCCTTTGAGCTCTCGATTCTGGATGGCTTCTGTACTGTCTGGAGGAGCCATTGCTCCCACGATCCTAAACTGCGACTGTCTTGTTGTGACGAGGCAGCTGGCGAAAAGGAAATTTGGGCACACTGTGACGGCCGACGGTGTGTGGAAGGCTAAATGCCAGACGTAAGAAGAAGCTTCTCATCTTGGCGACGTGATACCAAAGTACAGAAGACCCCCACAGACTAGTCTCTGAGGGCGCAGTTCATATGACCATGGAATTAGCGCTGCGTGAACTCGTATTTGGCATAGGGTTAGGCTGTGCCAAGCTCTACTAGCTAGCTAAGCGAGGTTAACTAAATATTATGCCGTAAGATTTTGCAACGTGTTCTAAACCTATTCTAAATATATTCTATACTAGTAATACTATAAGCTACTGCTGCTATACCTATTACTAACGTATCCCTCTTATCCTATATAAGCAGATTAAAACGTGTTTAGAACGTGTTCTTAATAGGTTATAGAAGCACTATTAATAGTACCTTGCCCTTAGCTGCGTCCTAGATAATATTAGGGTATAGCCTATAGTTAGCCCTAATAGGGTAGTTAAGATAGAGAGTAGAGAGTGCTACTACTATACTAAGATTAATAATAAGGGCACCTTATATAGAGTAAGAATAGGTTCTAAACATATTCTAAACAGGTTCTAATATTCTTAGGCTATTCTAGGTACTAGGGGCACTCTATATACCTATGCTAAAAAAGATTATAGGCTTAATATAGCCTACTATAAGGTTAGTAAGGTTAAGAAGACTAGCTAGCCCTCTATAATAGAGGTCTGCAAGGTAAAGAGTAAATATATTATTAACCTATTCTTAACTTATTATACTAATATATATAGACTTCTATATAAAGGTTATATATAATTACTAGAATGCTCCTTACTATAAGTTATTTAGAATATATTTAAAACTTATTACTAATATATTTTATAGAAGTTCTCTAAGCCTAGCTAGCAGCTACTATAGGCCCCCCTATAAATACTAATACCCTCCTAAATATAATTTAGAAGAAGACTTATAGTAGCTATAATAGTAATAAGGTACAGCCTATAAGAACCTATTAAAAACACGTTGCTAACTTATTATAGCTTAACTTTATTACTATATCTACCCTACTAAGGATTTAAGGTTATTAGGTTCCTTATACTATCTACGCTTATAATTATCCTAGCTATAGTAAGTTATTTATAATATATTATTAACCTATTCCTAATATATTTTAAGACTGTTACTTTAATACTAGTGTGGACCTTACTAATTCCTGCTAGAATGCCGCCTAGTTCTACTTGCGGTATGCTTTTGTAGAGCCTAGGGAGGATAGGGAGGATAGAGAAGATACTAGAGAGGGGGAGGGAGATAATAATAGTAATAAGTAGGAACATATTAAGAATATATTAAGAATAGGTTCTAATAAATAATATATAATAGTATATAACCTAAAGGGGTAGTAGTAATTACTAAAATAAACTCTCTACTCTTCTCTTTTTTTTTCTATCTACTAAAAGTAAAGTACTATTTACTTTTATAGGGTCCTTTAATAGTATATAACTTTTTCTTTTAACTTTTATAGGTATTATAAAGCTCTAGCAGTCCCTTAGATTAAAGAAGAATCTAGTATTTATAGGTGTCTAGCTATAATATATTATTAATATATTCTAAACCTATTTTAAGAGACTAGACTTATATCTCCTTTTTACTACTTTTGCTAAATATTATTTATAGTGTAAAGGGGAGTCAACTATTTACTCCTCTTCTTTACTCTCTGCTTCCTCTTTAGCCTCTACTCTAGCTACTACTTCTTATTATAGACTAGCTATCTTAGAGGGTTCTTAAACCTTAGAGGAGGCACTTAGTATAGTCTGCTTTACTAGCAGAGAACGTATTATTAACGTGTTTAGAACACGTTCTTAAGTATTTACTATTAAGCTCCTATAGAAGATCCTTGCTTCTGCAATGCCTTATATTATAGTTCTGCCATAGTTTACTAGGGCTATTTAAACCTTAGGATAATACCTCTTAAGGTAGTAGATAAGATTACCTCTATTAGAGAAGCAACACTAAAATAGTTATTAATATATTATAAACGTGTTCTAACTTGCATGTATATATACTCTATAAAGTTCCTGTACCCCTAATCTAGCCTAAATAGCCTAGTAGAAAAGCTTGCTAGGAAATACTATACACCTATTATTTAGGTAGGATGTTGCAGGAGAGAATACCCTAGTATTAGATAGAAGTGACTTAAGCTTAATATATTGCTAGTATAAATCCTACTTAGTATTAGAACAAGTTTATAACGTGTTCCTAACGTGTTCTATTATATACTAACTTTAAAAGATCTTTATAGACTATATTAACTAGTTATATCTAATAATATTAGGAAAGATAGATAGTAAAATAGTATTAAACTCTTAAATATAAAAAGTTCTTATAGAGTGTAAGAAGAAAGAAGAAGAAAGAGAAGAAGAAAGAATATATATTTATCTACTTATATATACTTACGTAATAGACTAGAATATATTAAGAACTAGTTAGGAACTAGTTACTATATTTATAGACTAACCCTACCTTATATAAAAAGCAGCTATCTCTTTCTTAAGTTTAAACTATACCTTTTATAATTTAAATAGTGCCTTTTTCTATATAAGTTCTTCCTTATCTACCTCTAGCTTTTCTTTTCTCTCCTTTAGAGCCTAATTACTAAGAAGAGCCTTTTATTACAAAGTTTGTAGTTATAGACTAATAATAAGTTAGGAACATGTTATAAACGTGTTTCGCGAAGCATACCTTTAGGTTGCTATTAGTAGAGGAGAAGAGCCTAGTAGTAGAGAAGATAGAAAAGGGGCTAGTAAACTTCTTTCTAATACCGCTCTACTACTTGCCCTCTAGCTTTAGGCTTTTAAGCGTGCTCTTTTATTTCTTATTAGGACTAAGATATATCTAGTTAAGTTAGATATAGCAAGACTTACTTTATTATTATCTAGAGTGTTATTATTATTATAGGACGCGTTCTAAATATATTCTAAACACGTTTTAATTAGTAAATGTGTATAACGCTAGCGTAAGACTTACTTTCTCCCCTCTAAAGCTTTTTAAGGTACCTTTGCTTAAGCCTATTAGGAGTTCTATAGTTATAGTGTATTCTAAACTTGCTTTAGGCTTTAAACTCTTTTATATCCTATAGATCTATCTAGTGTGCACTACACAATATTACTTATATAATTCTAATAGGTTAAGAATAGGTTATAAACTTACTTCTAAGTGGCCTTAAGAATACTTACATGCTTACTAGTTTTATATCCTTTCTAGCCTGCTTGCTTAGCTACATTTAAATAAGATTCTAGTTTTTCCTATACCTCTTTTAATATTTTACTATAGTATTACATAATCTTAGTAGTAATTACTAGGTTTTTCTTATAGATTGCCTAGTTTTAGGTATCTTTAGAGGGTTTGTGTTCTAATTATATAAGAACAAGTTAGGAACACGTTTAGAATAGGTTTAGAATATGTTTACTTATATAAGAGGAGGTTAGCAAGCTAAAAGTATTCCTCTACTATTAATGCCTATAGTAATTCACTTAGATATAAAGAGGTAGTATTATCTAGCTCTCTTTTACATGCTTTATAAATACTTCTTTATAGATATACTTAATAAAATCTTATACAAGATTAAAGTTGCTAGCGCTAGTTACGCTTATAGGGATTAATTAACTAGAGATAGCGCCTAAGTCCTAGAAACAAGTTAGAAACATGTTACAAACATATTATAGTGCGCTATAAAACTTACCTATTATCTGCTTATTGTATATATTAATAGTAGTCCTATAGAATCCCTATAAGTAAATATACCTCTATAACACTTATCTTTTTATAAGTGCTTTACACTTCTAAAAGAAGTTAGTAATAGCAACTTAATATATCTTAGTTATATCCTTATCTATAATAATTTAGCTAAGTGTAATAACTATAATATGTTAGAAACATGTTATAAACCTATTCTTAATGTGTACGCTTCTTTTCCTATAGGTAGAAGATTACTATTAGAATCTCTACCTATACCCTATATAACCTCTTATATAATATATCTATCTAGAATATATCTTAATCTAATAGAATTAATGCCTACTCTTTAAAAAGGCAAATAATTAAGTTACCTAAGCTTAATATAAAGATTTGCTATATATACGCCTATAGTAACGTATTAGTAATATATTCTAAACCTGTTCTCTTACACTACGTATAGTTTTAGGATCCTAATGCTTTATCCTCTACTTATAGTATACTCCTCTAAGGCTACTCTTAAATAGGAACTATAGAAGCTTTTTACACTTTATAATACGTAAGATTTTATCTTTATTTATAAAGCTAATATATATTTCTTTAATAGAATAGAAACCTTTAAGTTAGAGATAGGTTTAGAGCTAGGTTAAGTTTAGGAACTAGGCTATAATAAGTTAGGAATATATTTATAATAGGTTATAAATAACTTATATTATATAAGCTATAGAGTAAGTATAGGCTATAATACCTTTACTACTTCCTTAATATTACTATTAGATAGTATTAAGGGAGGAGGAGGTATATATATATATATACTAAAAGAAATAATAGTAAAAAAAGGTATTACTACTATATCTATTAGTATAATTACTTAGAAGGTAACTTTATATAGGATTTTAAATAGAGATCCTTGCCCTTATAGATAATTAATACCTAGAATATGTTAGGAACGTGTTAGGAATAGGTTGCAATATACCTACCACACTTCTTTATCTAGCTTAACTATAGCTTAACTATAGAATATAAAGCAGGACTACTAGAAAGATTTAATATCTCCCTAGTTAGAAGACCTTATAGATATATAGAGTCTACCTCTAGTAGTACCTAACTAAAATAATATTTTTTCCTAGTAGTAGATATTAGGCTATAGTTCTAATAGCTAATATATAGTTAAGCCTATTCTATAATTTACTAACTTATTATTAATATATTTTAAATATATTTAAGTTTTACTCCCTACCTAATTTACTATAGTCCTTATTATAAGATAATAAGACACCTAGTAGTCCTTATAAATCCTTAAAGAGAAGCGCTTAATAAGGCTATAATAATAGCTTCTTATTTATAGTTCTCTTTATAGAATTTTCTTAGGTACTACACTTTTTAAGGTTTAGATCTAATTATATAATACGTTATTAATAACATAATAAGAACATGTTTATAATATGTTCTTAAGATACTTATATACTTTTACCCTAGAGTATTAGTATTTATACTAGCTTGCTAGCTAGCTATTAAAGAATAGTAAAGTTGTAGGCCTATTAAGATAGATAGACTAGCAGGAGTATTATACCTGCTAGAATTAGAATAATTTAAGAACGTGTTCTTAACGTGTTACCTATGTAGCCTGTATAAGCACCTCTTCTCTTATTAGGTAAGAGCTATCTTTATATTGCTAAACTAGTATTATATACCTATACCCTTAGCTATATAATTAAGGGTATGCTAGGAGAATAGCTATATACTTAATAATTGCTAGTGTAAGTAGTAGTCCTTAACTATTACTATAAGTAAGGTATATATTATGCCCCTGTAATGTATTACTAACCTATTCTAAACTTGTTCTATTTACTTTTACTTACTTCCTTAATACTACTACTACTATCCTCCTCTAGCACTTTATATAGTTACCTAAATTTATCTCTAATATTACTATCTAGTTTAGATATATTATCTAGTACTACTATACTAAACTCTAGTATAGTATTTAGGAACGCCTATATATTATTAAGAATAGGTTTAGAACATGTTTAAAAAAGATAGTAATAAAAACTACGTTTACTTGCTTAAATTACCCTAATTTATACTTAACTATAGGCTAGTTTATATAACTATAAAAATTTGCCGCTGTGACGTGGACTTGAACCTACAGGGATATTCTAACCACTCGGAGTAAAGCCCAAGTCGCCCGACGCTAAACCCATGGTCATATGACATGCCACCACCTAGTCTCTTTACCATGTCCTGATCATTGCTACCATTGAGGAGATGGTGGAAGACCGGCGCAACTCCGGCGAATCACAACCAACAGCATATTACACACTGCACAGTGTGCTAGCAGGGGCTATAAAATGATACTTGCTCAACGAGACGATCTCACACCGAATACGATGATGACCCCAGCAATGGAGTGCAGCGTGGTATGATGCATGTTCCCGTTGGTGGGTAGTGGCCGGCGCAGGTTCAGTGTTGCCAATGGAGTCTCCAAGGCGACAAGAGAGACCATGGCCATCAAAGTACTCTCGACCTCATGTGTTACCAACCGTACCTTGTAGCATGGGAGTTCGTGTTGGCGAACGCCTCTTACCATATACCGTACCGGTAGAGTACCCTGATGCTGCTACGGGAAGGACCCGTTTGTTGTCCGGGCTGCAGGTTGGCCCGCAGGAGAGCAAGGCCATTGTCCAATGGAAGCAGATGACAACATCTGGCCTCGCCTCTCCAAGACATCTGGCTCAGCATCTGTTGGTCTGAGGTTCGGGACAAACTACAGGTGCGGTAGTTTGTGACTCGACTGTGCTTTTGTCGAGTCAAGCTCGACCCCGAACAAGATTAGCGCAATTGACTGACTGTGCCGTGTAGACGTCAACGCACTCGTGCGCCCGTTCCTCCCGCGTGACACCAGGTGCGATATTGCAAGAAATCACGAAAAACTTTACAAGAGATTGAGCCATGGTGCTGAGCTCGTCTTCGTATCTTGACCTCGGTAGCAAACCTGTAGCAAGGGTATCTACCTCTAGTGAGCAATTCTGTGGCCCAACGAACCCTCAATAGGCAATGAAAAGCAGCACTTCCAAGAATACGACCACCGGGTGTGACAATGAGAAAAAAAGAAAGAAAAAAGGACGCAGTGGCTTGCTGATGCCTGTTTGGCCCTCATTTTGATGACATATGCTGCATTTGTAAGGTGGCCCGAGACTCACAGGGCTTCAAGATGAAGGATAAAGAGTGACCGCCCACGAGATTTCACTTTGCTCTTACCAATCCTTCTAGCCACCCCATCAATCATGGCGTCTCAGAATTTGTTGAACACTTACTCAGGACCCGATGCTCTCCGCAAGTACTTCGATCCTGACTGTCAACCCCTGCTACCACTCGTTGAACTTCCCGCATCACTCAACCCATTCTATCAAGATGGGGTGCGTATACACGCCAAATTGATGTCTATGCATCCAGCGAACAATGTGAAAATCATGCCAGGTTTGTGGAAACCCCACAGCAAAGTTCATGCACATACCCTCTCCACGTACACTGACACTTTTCGTAGCAATGAACATGCTAAACAAAGGTGTAAGCCCCGAAAACACAAAGTCGGTAGTCGAGTACAGCTCTGGCTCCACGGTCATATCGTTAGCCCTGGCTTCTCGTATCAACCATAATGTTCAAGACGTTCGTGCCTACCTGAGCAACAAGACCTCCAGGTCAAAGCTTAGACTAATGCAATTCTTCGGTCTGGATATGTGAGCTCATCCCTCCATCAGCACGACTCATACTAATTGAGAGCAGTACTCTTTTTGGAGGACCATCGCAACCAGACCCGCGTGATGAGCGGGGTGGCATACAACAAGCTAGGGCTCTGGCGCAGGATAATTCAACCATCTTGAATCCCAATCAATATGAAAATGATGCTGTAAGTGTCCTTGCGCATTGGTTTTCACAAAAGACCAAGGATTGATTGTTGCCAGAATTGGCAAGCACACGTCAAATGGACTGGACCGCAGATTCACAAGCAGCTCCCTAGCATTAACGTACTATGCGTTGGCATGGGCACATCAGGTACGATGACCGGTCTTGGACAGTACTTCAAGAACAACAAACCATCTGTTACACGGCTAGGGTATGTTCACTTGGTCTTAAATATACGACACCCAGACTAATACCCCTTCTAGAGTGTGCACTGCTGCAGGTGATCGCGTGCCTGGCCCTCGATCCCTCGCCCTTCTTGGTCCTGTCGAGTTCCCATGGCGTGACTCTGTTGATTTCATCGAAGAAGTGGGCTCTAAAGACGCTTTTAATCTTTCGTTGCAGCTCTGTCGTGAGGGCCTAATCTGCGGCCCTTCATCTGGCTTCAATCTCCAAGGTACGACTACCCTGCAATCGCGACGGCTTTCCTAACCAAACCAGGACTTCTCAGCTTCCTCCAGAAGCGCAAAGATGCCGGCACGCTCAAATATCTTGCGGGCTCAACCGGCCTCATTGACTGTGCCTTCATCTGCTGCGACTTGCCATATCAATACGTAGATGAGTACTTCGACAAGCTCGGTGACAAGGCCTTCCATCCCATACACAACCAGGTCCGTATACATCCCCACCTTGTCTAACCCACCAAACCCTAACACCAACAACAGAACCTCACCACCGTCGACCTCTACCGCTACGACGAAGCATGGGAGCTCAACCCAACCCAAGCCCTCGAATCCTTCACAAACGACACCACGACACCACCCGCCATCACCCTCGTCGACCTCCGCAAACCAGACGACTTCGCCCTAGACCACATCCCCGGCTCCCACAACCTCCCCCTCCAAACCGCCAACGCATCCACCCCAAGCCCCTTCTTCGCCGCCCACGTCCTCGAAGCCCAGTGGAAAGAACTAGAAACGACATTCACAAACGAGCGTATCGACGCACACGAGCTATCCGGTAAGAACGTATGTGTGATTTGTTACAATGGTGATACAGCTCGAGTTGCTACTAGTATCTTGCGAGCCAAGGGCGTTGCGGCGAATAGCATCAAAGGAGGTATCCAAGCTCTACGCCAGGATCTGCCGCACTTGCTGCAGAGTACTCGGGGCAGACGCACAGTACAGTCTGGATATAAGCATGCGGCGAATGTTGCGGTGCAGGAAGTTAGGGCGGATTCGTTGTCGCCACGAGCATGGGGGCGGACTGATCTAGATCAGGTTGTTGTGTGAGGCGTGGAAAAGAGCATCTGGAGTGGCTTTTGTGTTAGATTTTTGTAAGAAACTACGAGGGTGGCTTCCTGAGCTGCTTGGTGGTTCTTTGTTTGATTGATAAAATGGAGAGGCAATGCTTGTTTGCTGTACCCAATTGAAAAAGAAATCTCTCATGGCTCGTAAGCTTGCTTTATGACAAGGGCCTTGAGCGAAAATTTTCAAGTGACTGGAATATGTAATTCAGTCTGGTAAGTTCCCTTGATTCATCCTACGAGTTGGAGCATGTGTCATGATCTGGTGATGGAATCTCTACGAATCACGACGATCACTACACAAGCTGTAGAGCCCCATGTGGGTTCACCGCAGCAAGTGTATGGCATGCACTCAACACCCAAGGTATTCCAGTCATCAAGTCTATACATACATATATTTAATACCACAGCTCAAGAAACTTCGAGTCGCAATGCATCATACTGCAAATAAACAGTCTCAGTCAACACCGCGTTCTCAGGCGCAGTGGCTCTAGCCGGAAGACTCAAGATCATCTCATTCGCACCAGCCTTTAGCGTGCTTGCATCGAACTTGAACTTATGGCCCGTGGTGTAACATCCGGCCGAGCTTCTCACCGCACAGCTCGACGAGTGTTGACTTGGAATCGTCCAGGTATCAAGTTGTTTCCCATTGACGACAACGTTGTAGGGGAGATTCTCCCAAGCTTTGCCCCCAGCTTCGTCGTTATTCCCCGCCGAGGTCTTCACACCAGCGAGTTGAACGGTAAGTGTCGCGGACGACTTATTAGAGAGTTGTGCTTGCTCCAAGTCGAATGCGAGTGTCCAGTTGCTGACATTGGTGTAGTACGGATCTGGGCGAATGGAGTTTCCCTTGCCACCAAACACACTCCAATGAACGTAATTAAGGTCGCGCAAACTCGACGATCCAACTTTGTACTTGACGCCATCCGGGAAATCCTTTACAAAATCATGCACCGCCCAATACAAGCGATATTGACGCGGCTGCAACGGCTTCGAAGTGTCCCTTTCATTGCCATGGCGGAACTCGCCGCTACTCTTGTCCGGTGTACCAATGCGCCAAAGTTCAGTGCCCGCAGATTCTGCGGTCCAGGATGCAGTGACCGTTGCTGTCGCGCCTGATTTGATGACGACGTCGTCCTGCTCGTATTGCCCGAATACACCATCGGCATATACTGTCAAGCGATACGTTCCAGCTTTGACAGAAGGTATCGAAACGCTACCGGAGGCATCGACGTTGCCCCAGTACTGGTATGCGCTGCCATCTTTGTTGTTATCCTGAAAGTCAACACCACTTAATGCGAGCACTGCGAGAACACGCGTGGCACCTTTGGGGAGCGCGATGGTGCCTTTGAATGTTCCACGGCCAGAGGACGGCACCAAATTGGGCACGTGCTGAGTGATGGAGTCATAGAACTTGGTCCAATCGGTAGACACAGTTTTTGCTGCATCGCTGCGAAGTTGTTGCAATGAAGTGCCTTTAGCACCTTTGTTGAAGTAGTAGTATTGCTGGGTTTCTGAGTTAGCTCATAGGATACACTGAAATGCTGGAGCACTGGCACACCAGGAACTTACTGGGCCAAAAGTACGATCAAAACCGTTCACCATCTCCGGAACGCCATTACCGTGATGATTCGAGACCAGGTAGTTGTAAACAATACCATCCACTGTGAGATCCGAGTGCGTCGGCCCATTGAAGTATGTGTCTTTCGTATTCATCACCAGCCAAGCACCAAACGTCGATCCATCCGCAACTTTGCTGCCGTCTGCATACATGCCATGTACAGTCTGGTCGCGCCAGTCTTCACTGAACATGTACTTTGTAAAGTAATCCGACATCTGCTTCACATATGGATCATCCTTTTTACTCGAAAGATCGGTTGTCGCATCTTGCACAACTGGTGCACCGCTCGTATCTGGCAGCGGAGCATACATCTCATCGCTCGATGACAGATGTGTCCACACGGAAGCGCTTGGACGAAATAGCTGCCTAAATTCACCCAGATCACCACCGCTTGGTGTTTGCGCATTGCTATACTTTGCGCGTGCGAACACGTGAAGTCCTGTCTCTCCATCGCGCAGGAACCAGTATTGCTCGAGGACCTTTCCTGTGCCTTGGTACTCTTGGCTCATTATGGCACCGGCGTATGCTTTGCCGGCGCTGTCATTGCCTGTAACGAGCTTGTATGTTGCGCCTCTGCCAGGCACCCACTGGCCGGCCTCGGTGCAGTGGCAATCAAGATATGGACCACGCCCGGTGCCAAGGAGGTTCTGTCTATCAAGAGAGAGCTTGTTGACGGCACCTGAGCTCTTCAGTACAGAGAATGACAGTCGGTCATTAGAAATATTGATCGCACTGCTATCTTCCGATGACTTGATTGTGGCGAGAGAGGAAGAAGCCCAGAGAAGGGTAGCTAGGAGGGAGGCGTAGTGGACCATGTTGGGATTGTCGACTGAAGCCCTCCAGCGTCTACCGAGGATTGCAAATAAGGGCGCTCCTGTTTATACTCTATACAAGCGTATTCTTTACATGTCAGCACAGCAAGGACCAACCCTAAACGGGCCGATCGATTACTGCGGATGCTTGTATAGATTGTCCCATTTAATCCATCTACCCGGAACTAGAGGATTAATCACGGTACCGGTAATGGCAGTCGAATGAATGGCTGAGAAAAGCTGCTCGCTGAGTCGGGTGAGCTCAGCACCGAGGCATTACACGTTTTCGTCAGATGGGTAGTCGAATCGAGACGGTGGCAAGTAGGATATTAGTGGCGTACAATACTCCGTATGTCCTGCCTACATAGGTAAGTAGGTGTGGCGCTCTTACACTGGCATCCCAGTTGATGGAATTGCCAAACCCTCGAATCAAATGTTGAATTTGTGGGGTGCGGGGAACTGCTCGAGTCATGGGCGTGGGAAAACGATCCTCCGGGGTGGACTCCACCAAAGAGCGCCACTACACAGGACTATACTATAGTATGAGCAGAGCCACCTATATCAGATTCATAAAATGCGTTGTATCATAGAGTTGGGTATGAGTAGATAAGCTGAATGGAATGTGCGCGTTGCCAATAGCGAACCCAGAATATAGAGTCAGGTACCTACTATTCTAACGACTGCGCCACTCGCAAGCTCACAACCACAGAATACCGGTAACCCCCTGAATACGTGCCGAGTAGAGTACCAGGCTGGTCAACAGCATAGTGTTATCCCTATCGACTGCACTCACAGCATGTCCTACAGTCATCCCTTTTCACAACATCCTGCCCAGCCTGCCCCCTCACGATGCCAACACAAATCCACATAGTCCGCCACGGCGAAAGCCTCCACAATATCCAACGCGACTATCCTTCCCCTGACCCGCCCCTCACCAAACGCGGGCATGGCGCCACAAAAAACATCCACATCCCCTTCACCCCAGACCTCATTCTCATCTCCCCCATGACACGCACCCTGCAAACCGCCCTCAACATATTCCCCGCACTCCTCCCAGACCGCGAAGACCCCAACCAGGCCAACACCACCATCCCCGTGCAGATCTGGCCCGACCTCCGTGAAACCTACGACGCGCTCTGCAACCGCGGCGTCTCGCGGTCCGCCCTGCGAACCTCCTTTCCGCACTTCGACTTTGGCCAATGCCACGAGGAATGGGATTACCCCACCCATTCCATCGGGGGAGCTACTACGCGAGCAGAGGGCGTGAGAGCGCGACTGAAGGTGCTGGCGGAGCAGAACGAGTATGGAAATATTGTTGTGATTACGCATAGGGGGTTTGCAGAGTATCTGGTCAGAGGCAAGAGGTTTGGGCTTTGCGAGAGGAGGACGTATCGGTTTGCGACGAGTGAGGAGGCGGGGCAGCAGGGCGTGAGGATGGGTAGGAACTGTGAAACGGGGGAAGAGATGGATTTTGGGCCTACGGTATTGGTAGGGATGGGTGGGGAGATTGGGGGGTAAGATGAGGATTTGGAGATGGAGTGGACAAGGTTCGGGAATAGGACTGGTCAATTGGTGTGCCTATCATGATTCACGGTAAGGATATCGGAAACTAATTATGGGATGGTGGAGCTTGTGCGAAAGCTTGTTTATACTACAAACTCTCAATCCACGTGCTGATACCATGGGTTATCGCTAGTGGGTAAGAGACTGCCCCAAATTTATCAGGGATGTAATATCAGCGACCCTCATCCCCCGAGACTGACACCTCAATGTCCACAACAATCGGCTTCGCAACGACCACAGACCCACCAATCTCTCTCGCACCCAAAATCGCAGCATTGACAACACAAGTCTCCCTGCGTCCGACCACCCCCCAATCCAGCTTCCTCCCAGCTTTGCCCGTCAAATCCACCCGCGAAAGCTTCTTATTATTGCCCTTGCCAGGGTCATCCCAGACCTCCATACTCTCCACATCAATCCCATCATTATCTTCCTCTGTTCCCTCCACCAAAGGCGCTGTATCCCGCCGAATCTCCGTCCCCGCACCACCCTTCCATCTCACGCGTTGCACCCCCCTTCCAGCATGAATATGTCCACAAGCATGCAAACATGGCCTCACCCTCTCCACCGCCCTCCTCAATTCTGCACACCCCGCCATCTCGCCACCACCCGCCCAATCGCAAAGCCCCAGGGCAGGCGTATGCGTGACTAAGACATCCACGTCGTGCTCAATTACGCTCCACAGCCTCTGCGCCGCTTCCCCATCTGCATACTGGAAGGCCCAGCCGCGATGGCCGGGGGAAAACGGACTGCCGAAGACTTTGAGGCGGGTAGGTTGTGTGCTGGTGGAGGAGGCGATGGAGAGGACTGTAGAGGCGTGCTCGAGGTAGGTTAGGGAAGGGGAGGATGTGAGGAGGGCTTTGCAGAGGGTGGGGTCTTGTGGGGCGGGCCATTTCCATTTGTTGGCGGCGCTGTGGAAGAAGGGGGGGTCGAGGGTGGTGTCGTGGTTGCCTGTTGTGCGTGCACTATGTTTCAGCGCGAATAATTTTTAGGTGTTCCAAATGAATTGTTTTTGTGGAGAGTTCTCTCTGTACAAGGTTCGTGGTTTCTTGTTGGACCTTGCGAGGTGGGAATGCCCTTCACTTTCTGGCACACTACTACGTTTGAAAAAGTACGCAAGAACATACCAGCAACCACGATCTTATGCTCGAAATCTGCCTTTTCCAGCCAGGACACTGTCTTCTTCAATTCTGAATAACTGCCCTGGTTCGTGAGATCCCCGGCGTGAATCAGAATATCGCCAGCAGGGAGTTTGGGTGTCTGGTTGTGGGTATCTGAAATACAGACGATGCGGATTTTGCGCCTTGTCATGGTTCATTCAGTTTGTATGGTAAACGGGAAAGCTGGCTACTATTGAGTTCTGTTTCATGAACTTGCAAGTATCTAGACATGCATGGAACCGGAGCTTTGGGTGGCCCCACGGTACCTAAAGAGTGTGAGTCATGTCGTAGACTGTCAGAGGGTGATTGTGGCGTGCCTGAATCAGGTACTAAGTTACTTGATGCCATGTTTTGGAACTCGTGGATGTGTGGAAGTGTAGGCAGGACGGCTTTATCAAGTGCGACTCGATGTGAACTCTGAGAATTGCAAGAGGTAGTTGGAAGGGGGACACTGAGACGACGCGTGGGCACGTGACTCCGCTAATCGGCATTTTCGACGTGGAATCATCACGCTTGCATGCCCGGCAACGGACAGATTTCTATACAATGGCTAGCCAACTGGAATAAGGAGAGATAAGTGCGCTCCGTGGTATATGCGTGTGGAGATGTCTGCCTCCAAGCTGGATCAATTGCCGCCTGGAATGGTCGAGTTTACTGTTCTCAAGTCTGTGGGTGCGCTTGCACCGCGTCTTGGCCGTGTATCCATGCCACGAAGGACGAGCATACTGACACCGGACTTCATCGCCAACACATCACGGGGCATTATTCCTCATGTGTCGCAGGACAACTTTCGTAAGAGCCGGGTGGCCAATGGCGTCTACCTCGCTCTCGAGGACTGTACGCGCCCCCCCCCCTTCATTCAGCTATACACAGGCAACTGGACGACCTCTAATATCGCATAGTCGTCGAGAAGCTGCCCCAGAAGACACCGCCTATTTTGAACCATGAAGGGCCTGACTCGTTGCGGCGCTTCATAGCCCTTGCTGAAGACACGCTCATGGTGTTGGGGGCGCGTCGCAATCCCCCCATAGCGAGCCCAGTTGCAAACACGAATGCTGAAGTCGGCCTCTTCACCTCGGTCGGCTTCACCTCCATCAGCTCCGAATACTACGCGGCCATCGCACGGAAGTTGCAGCCGGACATTGTCGTAGGGCTGGCCGACATTCCCTTTGGACAGGAGCAGGTGGGCCGGAAGAGGAAGTTCAAGATGAGCGACCGCACCGAAGCCTGGCTGCAGGACCTGGTTGCTGCCAAAGGGGGGATGGCGAAGGAAGACAAGCCATGGAGCATCTTCGCCCCCATCTTGCCCATTGACCTGGACTTGCAGTCGTGGTACCTGGAGCATCTGCTGGATCCCAATATGCTCAACAAGATCAGCGGCCTGGCCATCTACGACGCCTTCCTCCTCGACGACCTATCCGAGGAATTGCAACACCTTCCGCGCTTATCTTTCCACGTCCCGGCAAGTCCCCATGAACTTCTCCGCCATATTGGCCTGGGCGTGGATATCTGCACGGTGCCGTTCCTTGCTGAGGCGACTGACGCAGGCATCGTTCTCGACTTCACATTTCCCCCACCTCCCAAGAATCAGTCCACAAGCAACCGTCGGTCTCTCGGAATCGATATGTGGAGCGACGCGCATGCCCTGTCTGTGACTCCACTCTCAGACGGCTGCACCTGCTATGCTTGCACCAAGCACCATCGCGCCTACCTACAGCACCTGCTTGCGGCCAAGGAGATGCTCGGCTGGGTACTGATACAACTGCACAATCACGCAGTCATGGCCGCCTTCTTTGCCGGTGTCCGCGCTTCCATTAAAGCGGGCACATTCGAGACTGATGTGGCTGCCTTTGAAGCTTGCTATGAACCAGCACTACCTGCAAAGACTGGACAAGGGCCTAGAGTACGCGGCTATCAATTCAAAAGCGAGGCACATGTCACCAAGGACAAGAAGAACCCCAAAGCATTTCGCAAATTTGGTGAGGAAGAGATTGCCAAACTCAGGGCCGCCAATGGTCGACAGGCAAACGCGAACCCAGCGATTAAGGATGCGGTTGACGACGAGGCTCTCTTTGGACTGATTAATATGGATATTGCACAGTCAGATGAGACCACTGCTATTCAAGATGATCAGGTGACATGTCCAGACGGCAAACCTTGATACAACTAACAGCAAGTGATACACATCCGTCACACCCGCCATACCCGCCATATCCGCTATACACCCCACAGCCCTGCATTGTTTCTGGCCAGTACCACGCCACCCATTGCACACGCGTCAACACACACAACTTCATTCTGCAACTAGATACGTCTTGCTTCTACAACCGCACCCTGCGCCAGACTCTGGCCATCATTACACGTCCTGTACACGATGCCTAAATGGCATAACATTTCCTGAATATGCTCCGCGGTCTCCTTGTCATTCCGCATTTGAAAGACGATCAACCCGCCCGGGTGTATGAGTCGAGGTCGCCCTGCCTACGCAACTGCTACTCAATCGTATGGAATATTGGTGAAGAGCTCTGGCGGCATAGGTCGAGGTGGATTCGTTGGAGAATGGAGAGATGTGATTGTAAGGGCCTGGGTATCAGGTTCACGCCATCCGAGCATTTGCGTATCTCAATTTTGATGTCGACAAATGCCACTCGCGCTCTGCAATCGCGCAGAGGGAGGCTCCTCCAGCCGTTGGTGGCGCTAACATCAGTCCTGCGACAAGGGACTCGGCTATCGTTCTGTCAATCGTCAATTCCTCGCACAATGCTCGCACAAAGACCGGTGGCGGATATCATAAACGTGACTCCATCATGAATAAGTCGTCGTTCAGCGGCAACGACAAGTCTCTGGTGGGTGAAAACTGAAGCCTTGATCCATAGTTGTGTTTCAGGGGATGAAGTTTCGTAAATTTTCGGAACTAGGGTCGAAGAATTGTTGCAGACTAGTGCAACTACCGAGCACAGGTTGCAAACATTGGGAAGCAGTGATATTTCCTGGTTTTGAGCGTGGACTTTATTTCTCCTATATACAATAGGGTGCGAGAAGGTTACGTGAGCGCTATGAGATATCGGCGCGTTTCAAAGGGCCCCTGCTCGAACGGATGATCAAATTGGCAATACTGCTTACCCACCATGTACCAGTACCGCCGAAACGGGTAATTACTGCTCACTGCTGGCAGAACATACCTAGACTAGCGAAGCTCCAGCATTAATGCTATCTATTTGAGACACGGCGACCGTTTGCAAAGGCACAAGCAGAATCCCCACAAACAGCCAACCCGCAGTAGTCTTGAACTGCTCATTGGCCGTCTTGCCTCAACTACACGAGGCATACCATGGTACCCTACAACTCACCCACACTCGAATGATGGTCACGGCGTGACAAATCTTTATATTTAATACAACATGGCTCGGGCTTGAGCGTCATCCCCAAGGCCACGGTTTCCACATCGACGTCGACTCAATACCCACCATATTACTAGTGCGTGGGACAAGTTTGGTGCCTGAATACCTATCCTCCCTCACCCACGATCAACTTACCGACCATAGGTATCTGTCGCCATTTTTGATCGGCCTGGGCCAGACACACCAGAGAAACCTACCAGTATGTTGAAGCAGGGGATCGCAATGCTGCGGTCGCCCAGCGCGATGACCATGCTCTTCAAAATCGTCGTCGTAATTATCATACTGGGCTCGCTTTTCCACCTGCGCTTTCTTGTATCGCTTTGGGATACTTCTCCGGCTGAATATGGCTCGCATCATGCGTCGTTGAGCGAGGGCTTGCAAGCAGGTGAGACTGGTAATGGCTCCCAGAACGTAGGGCAGGGATCAAACTTCAAGACCATCGATCATGCGTCGATTGTCCACACCAGCGAGTCTTCTGGTCCACCTCCTCCTGCAGTCGTGGAGTCTCCCAGCTCAGAATCTTCTCACGAAACCGCAAATATGGAGCCTGTAATCGCCGATAAGCTTCTAAGCTCTCACGAAGAAAGCCGCTTCCGCTCCCACGGCCCGAAAAACTGTTTCCCGTCCTTCGACACCACCATGCAACAACGCGCGTCCGACCGTCTCGCCTCTTGCGAAAAGTACGCTCCCTTCTCAATCGAAGAAACACATCGCGTCGCCTTTGCCACTGCCTCAACCGGCGGTCCTTTGAGTCCCGCCTACGCATTGGCGATCCAATCCCATATGACTCACAGCACCATCCACAACTCAACCGTGCACATGCTCTGCGCCGACATCGTCCCAGGAATCTGGAACAAAGTCGCCTACCTCCAAAATCTCGTCTCCGAAGAGCTTCTCAAACCTGAACGCGAGCGTCTAGAATGGCTCTTCTGGGCTGACCGCGACACCCTGATCCTCGACCAATGCCGGCCACTATCCTCGTTCCTGCCGCCCAAGTCGCCGGAATTCGACAAGGTCAATTTCCTCGCCATTCACGACGCCTACGGACTCAACTACGGCGTCTTCTTCATCCGCGTCAATACCTGGGCTATTAACTTCTTCTATAACATCCTCTCATACCCCTACTACAAACCCCAGGACGAGCTCATATTTGCTGAGCAATCAGCCGCCGCACGTCTTCTCGAGGCCGATCCCAAGTACGGCGACCACTTTGCCCGCGTCCCCTGGTACTGGTTCAATGCGTATCCAATGGATGACGACAACGGCACGATCCCGTACGTGAGCAATGTCCATCCGGACGAGTATGAGTACTTCCGCCCTCGTAAGGGTGACTTTCTCGCGCATTTTGCTGGACATGGTAAGAGATTGGAGGAAATGGTGACGTGGGCGTATGCGCTGGAGAAGGTGGGCGATGTCTGGGTGAATAAAGAGGAGGAGGAGAGGAGGGATGTCACTTCAGATATTGGAAATTATTGGAGGGCTTATAAGGAGGGCACGCTTACGGACAAGATGAAGACTGGAAAGTCTGCGAATGACGAGGCAAAGGAAAAGGTGGTGGCGGCGGCCAAGGCAGCGGCAGAGGCGGAGAAAAAGGCAAAGGAGGCGGAGGAACAGGCAAAGGAGGCAGAGAAACAGGCAAAGGAGGCGGAGAAAAAGGCAAAGGAGGCAGAGGAGGCTAAGGCAAATGTAGAGGCGGAAGGGAAGGTGGAGGCGGAGAAGAATGCAAAGGCAAACACAGAGAAGGCAGATCCAGTGCCAGCAACAGAGCCACAACAACAAGCACAGACTCAAGACCAGACCCAAGAGCTACAATGAGCCGCACCCTCGGAAAATCTACCTTTCCCCACGCCTCTGCTCCTCTCCCCGGACTTCCGGACTTTTCCTCCTCCAGGGCCTCTTTTTCCCTACTTTCTTTCTCAAGATGCCCATCTCCTCCACTTTTTTTGTATCTTTTTTCTCGTTCTTCTTGCATATGACCGAGCATCCGCTCCCATTTTCTTCTCCAACCTTCTTCGGACAACTAGGGATCATGCTACAAGCGCTGTAGCTTTCTGGGGGCGCACGAGTGGTGAGGCAATCGAGGGATTTCTGAAAATCAAGGTGGTTGGATTTTATAATTAGATGTTTTTGAGATAGATGACAGAGTTTTTTGTACAGGGACTGAGGGTTCTTTTGGGGGGTTTTGGTTCTTCATTGGAGAGTCTATGAGATTTATGATTCTCGCGCCATGTGCTTTCTCGCTCTCGTGTGAAATGACCAGTGCAAAATCTGCGGTAGTGTTTTTCTGGTCACTGCGACGTTTCATACACATTACGCTGAAGACCATTGGCAAAGGTCCCGCGCCTGTCTTATTTCTTCTCTGCCATCTCACTCGACTTCACTTTGGATATTGCGCAACGAGACGCCTGAATCATCCTCTTAGTGAAACGGCTTGACCAGCAAACCGCCATCCCATTCAACATTTTATTCAACCGTCCATCAAACCCCCAACACGTTCATATCTTTACAATCACTCCCCACATCACCGCCCTCGACCCGCCTCTTGACCCTGCCTCTTGACCCTGCCTCTCCCCAATCTACCCCTCACATTTCCAGCACCAAAAATGGCCACACGTGCAGCGCGCGGGGTGCTCGGATGAGATGGTTGTGCTGGAGCAGGCGTGGCATGTCCATGTTTGAATTGTTGTTGGTGAAGAATTTGTTATTGAATGTTTGGGGTGGAGTGTTGGGGAGAAGGAATCTGGGGATGAAGGGGAGGTTGTTGGGGGTGTGGATGGGGATGGTGAAGGTGAATATGGCGGACGAGAGGGTGGTTGAGTGGACATGTATATGTTAGTCTTTGCAAAATTGTGGAATGTAGACTGTCAGGGCTGTTTTGTCAACTACTTGTGTTATTTCTTCGTCAGGCTGGCGTGTGATGATGTGACAGTGCTGGGGAGATGTCAGACTTGGGTGCGAGTACTGAGTCGGGGATTTATGGGATGGGCGATGGAGTGTGCGGGTACGATGTGTCTTGAGCTTTGAGGTTGGAGGCGGTCACAGTGTCTTGGGTTGAGGATTGTGTGTGGGTACAATGTCTTGAGTTCGAGGACGTGTTGTGTGGGTTACTGTCTTGTTCGATTTGTTGCGTGGGTCTCAACATGGTGATGCTGGGTGAATTGGCGTTGCCATTGTAAGACAGTGTGTGCATAAAGTTGCTTCGTGATGGAGAGATGATAGAGTTAGAAGATGGAAGAGTCACTGTCCTCATGAACGTGGAGGAAAGTGCTTGTGTGTCGGTCCAGAGGAGACAGTGAAGGTGAGATGAAGACAGTCAAATACAAGAAGGTCAGGGTCAAAAGGTACAAAGCAAATATGTTCAAAGCAAAAATGTCATTCTTCTATCTACCCAAAGCCAAAGCTATCAAAATTTGGAACAAGATCAATAACGATCAAGATAATGCGCCCCTGCCCCGCGCACTATGATGTCTGCCACCGATAGACACTCTCTCTGGGGGCGTCCCCCCAGAGTCGGAGGCGTCCCTCCGGCGAATGTGCAGACTCTCTTCCATGTAACGCAAACCAAAACCCTCCTCCACCCAAAGCCAAACCCCAAAGCCGTCGAAAAGTTGGAACAAGACCAGAAATTGGTCGAGATAATGCGCCCCTGCCCCGCGCATTATGATGTCTGCCACCGATATACACTCCACTGGAGGCGTCCCCCCAGTGTCGAAGGCGTCCCCTCGATGAGTGTGCAGACTCTCTTCCCCTGGTCTAAAGTGCCAGGTTGAAAAAAGAAAAGAGAAAGAGGACGAAGGAGCGAGGGAGGCAGGCCTTTTATGTTGCCTCCGCGGGTCCACGATTACTCAGCAGTAGGACCCCGGCGGCCTCGTCTTGGCGGCCTGGAAGTGGCCCGGGCTTTGGGGGTGAAGACGCGGTGAATGAGGATTTGGGCACATGCGGGGGGCGGCGGTGACGTAGGAGGCATTGTGGGAGGCTGGATTGGGTGGCAGATCATGTGGAATAGCAGTTTTGAGGCTGGTTTTGCTGCTCATGCGTGGTAGTTGGCTTGTGTCGAGCGTGGTCGCTTGGGCTGTCGTGTGTGAATGTCAAATCACGTGATGTACTGGAGTCAGCAGTCCTGGCGGTCACTATCTCCAAAGCTTGTAGGTTAGTCTCTCATAGCCAGGGTATGCTGTCAGTAGACATAAGCACGAGTAGAAATCACAGGGCTGTCGTTGGGGCGGCAGTGACCCTAGCAGTGTGCCAACAGCTGTTTGCTTCAGGCGACACCAATGCCAAATCAGCTGAGACGGGCTCTTACAATCTGACGCCCTACGCGATTTCTCTGTAACTATCAAAATATATTCAAGCACCTTGGCCTTGTCCTCTTCTTCCCTTTATGTCTCAATCATAGCACTGATCCACTCACAATCACCGCCTCGAAAGGCGCCAGCTTCTCGTAGCAATGGCAGCGTCAACAAGCTCCCAGGCAATCAGTCGAAGCGAGTTCATCAAGAACAATCCTCTGAAGATTCACAGTCTCATAAAAAGTTTTGCCTGGACGAGAATAGGTCACCAGCGCATTGTACGCAAGCCGACGAGAGTCCGCTACGCTCCTCGAGTGCGACACCCATGGAGCGCCTGTCAATCCGTTGCGAGCACCCGAAGCCGCTCATACCAGGCCGTCTCACCATCTTCAACCTCCCCGGCGAGCTGCGCGATCTCATCTTCTCCTACACATTTGGCCAGATGTCGTGCTACATTCCACTCGACCCTTTCTACCGCAATCACCGCTCTCCTTACACCGAAATCCTACTATCGTCCGCAAAAGTCTACACGAAGCGCGCAGCTACATCAAGAAGACGCAAGTCGTGTATGTACCCGTGATGATGGGCATGAACTGGAGCTACGGCGAGCCTACAAACGAGTACCCCTACCAGCGCGCCACAAAAGATACCATGGCCCTTGCCCTCACCGAAAACACAAACACTCACTTCCACTTGCACGTGGATGTCCTGCGAACATCAGACTACAACCTGGACGCGCTCCTGGCCTCACTCACGCAGGCTATTGAAGTCTTTTGCGCACACTCCTGGAATGGAATCTGCACATCAAACACGAGCTCTGTGAACGCCGTGCCGTCGTCCACCTCGATCACCTGCTATCCCTATGGTCAAAGCCCAGCAAGACAGAGATCCACTTCTCCATTGAATACATTAAGAGTTTGATCAATATGCTTGCCGACGACGTCTAGACGGACTGGGAGCTTCGCTACTATGTCCCGACGGGGCAGGCAGGTACGGCAATCACATATGCGACTCATTACACTCATCACACTCATCTCACAGAGTATCTTCGCGATTCGGAACTTGCGGAGCTGTGACGTTACAGGAATCAGTATAATGGTATTAAGGTAGTGGCTGAGGTCTATGGCGATGACACAACCTAGGCGTTTGGCGATGAGCTCCAGTGTGTTTCGCGACATAGGAGACCAGGGACCGAACTGTGGCCCAATGTGCACTTCGACCCGGCGGCACACCACGCTGCCAATCGCAAGGAGTACATAAGCAGACAAATTCGTAAGCGCAGAGTGTGGGTGTCGAGGCGGGCTTGCTGATGATGAATGTAACACATATGTCATACTACGACTTCGACTTTAACGTTTCATCAGCGAGCAGGGCGAACCATAAGCGTGCTATGAGATTCCTGAAGAATCAAGAGAAGAAGTATGGAGTCCGTCGCGAAAAGACGCCTGAGGACCAGGAAGAGGATCGCTTGTGTCCTGGGAAGATGCTGCTTGGCTAGGCGACGGCTAAATATTCCAAGATTCAGTCACCTAGAATGTGCGTGGAGAGGATGCGGGAACATGGTTAATGGAGGAAGAGTCACAGGGCGGACGGTGAGAATGAGATGATGCGGGAACATGGTCAATGGAGGAAGAGTCACAGGGCGGACGGTGAGAATACCTCAAACATGAGTCCATGACGAATTAAGACATACAGAGCGTAGAGTAGGAGCAGATATTACAGGACACTACATGCAGGCCCTACGTCCAATACACTCTAGTAGCCCAACTTCTTCACTCGTTCCTCACCCAGAACGTCAGCTAGGCTCACCAACTTGAAACTCGCCTCTTTTGCAGTCCCACCTCCAGCCAATTCATTCGCATCGTCGTGCATGACCACCAATCCCAGCGGGAAATCTTTGTTCAAGGCATTGCTTACCGCTGCAATACCGTCAGTATTACTCACATGATCGATTCCCTTGTCCCCATTGTCCACAACGGTGAACGTCATGACATATGCGTGTGGAGCCGCGCGCTCATACACAAAGTAAGAGCTGATACCCTGCGACGAGACGATAATGTATCCATCTGGTCCAGACTTGGCAGTGACAAGCGTGATGCCTTCGACATCTGCATGGAGCCCACTCGCATCGCCAACCTTTGCAACTTGAACACCAGTATTGCTACCATCGGGCTCTGCTTCATAGCGCCAGATGCCTAACGGCTCTTCGCCGATGAAGAGGACTCCGGCGTCCTCGTCCGCGACGCATCCTTCCACCTGGCCGCCAGATCCGCCTTGAAACTCGCGCACAAGTGTGGTCTGGAGCGTACCGTTTGATGTGGCGGTGAGTTCGTATTGAAGGTACCGTGCCTCCTTGTTATTGACAAATAGGTATTCTTTGCCCGTTTTGTGCGAGCGGTAGTTGCATGAGCCGTAAGGCTTGTAGTTTCCTGGTAAGCCCTGTGTGCCACCTGAGATCGGTTGAACCATGCCGGTACTATTCACTTCGACGAGACTGCAGAATAGTTAGATATGATAATAGACCATCATTGAGGAAACATACCAAAGAGTGTTATCGCCTCGGCAAGCAGCGTATGCTAAGTCGATATTTCGGCTGCCAATTGAGAAGTTGTAAATGATGTCGACATTGTTGGGCTCCATGGCTGTCAAGTGCTGCAGGAGCTTGCCACGAAGGTCGAATACGCCAAAACCTTGACCATTACTCGACTTCGTGGTGGTGATGATCTTGCTTTGCTCCGGTTGCGTGGGGTGAATCCAGATAGCTGGGTCATCACCATCGCCTCCGTTGGCTTCGGTTTCATACTTTGCCTTGACAGCAAAGAACGCACAGTCTGGGCCAGCCCAGCCATTTTTACACTTGCATACGTTGGGCCCAACACACTTTCCGTGGCCTGAGCAATCATTGGCACAAGTGACTTTGGAGCAGTCTGAGCCTGAGAAACCTGGAAAGCACAAACATGTGCTGTTGTTGGTCGCGAAACCATTTTTTGAACACTTTTCGGTGATCTGACTATCGCAGTGTTTACAAGGGCTGGCCTTTGGGTCGTAGTTCGTATGCGCTTTGATACCTGTAGCTGTGAGAACGGCTTCCAGGGAACCAATGGCAATACCAGTGTCGTCGGCACCCTCGAATGCAACTGCAAAGGCACCAGAAGGGTAGCTGCTGGCTGAAGACTGAAGGATGGAAAGTCCACCTTTGATGGATAATTCTGGTATGCCGCCTAACAAAACACTTCCTTTCCGCTCCATCTGTTCATCGAAGATATCGATCGACTCGTCGTGAGCAACAAGAAGATGTACACCTGATTCACCGTGATAGGTCGCAAGCGAGGTCACTTTGATATCTTTCGACACTTCGGTGATTGCAGGAGCACTGGTCGACTCTACAGCGTGGAAGGAATATAATGGTCGGTCTTCCGCAGAGAAGAAAATCCTTCCACTAGGAAATACAGAACATGATTCGCCTTCGATTGGAACAGAAAATGTTTGGACCTACGAAATCATGTTAGACCAATCCTCTTTTTAGAAATGCAGGCAACACACCTCGAGAATCTCAGCATGTTTCTTCTGGCTGCGAATCAGAAATTGCACCACCATCTGCTTGCCAAAAACGAATAGATAATTCTCTCCAGACTTCTGGCTGCGCCACACACACGCTGTACTCCAATCACCAAGCTGTTTCTTGTCGTTGCTGTCCACCTGTTTTCCAGCTCGCGCATCGAAGATCCTCATCAACGAATCTGGCGCAGGGATGTTAACCACGACATCTCGGCCCGCAATATCGTAGACTGGTACCGCAATTTTCGAGCGGCCTGTCTTCTGGTGTATTTTTTCCGAAAAGGTAGCATTCTGTGCCATAGAGAAAGTTCGATATCCACCTTCTGCCGCGCTCCCATCATTTGCGACCAGGATGGGAGATGCGCCATATATGAAAGCGGTATTGTCTGTGTCGAACTCAATGGCTGCTGGGATGAGCGTGACGGTCGCATTCTGAGCAGTTGCAAGAGCCTGGATAGCAGAGATACAGGCGAGATACTTATAGATTGCCTTCATTGCGATCCTCGTAACCCTGTGAAGTGAGCTTGGAAATCTAGAACTGGGATCGTCATCTTATAGGATATCAGCGCAGGATCTACATGGCCCCATAGTAGGCCCGCGGTTCGGCACATGGTGAATGTTGTAGTCTCCGCGGCAAATCTTTCGTACTTGCTTTCTATACCGTATCATCCTTGCCTGTATATGGGAACGATGTCGCGAAGTGTTGAGACATGGTCCTACCATCCGATTTTGGCTAGACTCCTATCCATGAAGATCCAATCAACACCATGGTTTCGGAAACGTGACAGCCAGGCAAGATTGTTTCTCGCAAACCAATCATAATAGAGAGACCGAGACAATCATAGCTTACATTTCCCGGGCCTCTGCAAGTTAGTGGCAATCTTCCCGTTGCTTCTGGAGCATCCATGGTCGTAGCATCAACAGCCGTTTCGACTTGGCAATGCTTGAATGTCGTCGAGCTGATCAGACAGGCATGATTCGATGACTCAGGCCAGATACAACTCCAGGACGATGGAATTGAGAGATAATCGAGTAGATCGATTGTTGTACCATTCAATTTTTTCTTTGATGGAAAGTGATGAGTGACCTTGACTCTGTTGTTGCGGCCTGTCTACAGAAGAGGGCCAAGTGTAGGTACCGTCGATTCTGATGGGGCGCCATCATTTCGGCGATTTGATGGCGCTCTTGTAGAGTCTACGCACACAACGCAAGGCGTCGAGGCAACGCAATACCTAACCTCTAGGTACAACCGCTTCGGACGTGACTGCCACAGGCTCAGCGGATGTTCGCCTCATATCGAGACGTTCGGAATTTTGATGTTCACGGTCGGCCATTTCGTCGTTCAAGTACGGTACCTACTACGGCATCTAAAGGCATCACTGGGATATCCACGGGACCATCGTCGCATGTAAAAAGATAGGAAGATGAAGGTCTGACAGTAAATCAATGCGTTAGAGAGAAGGAGGCGCCGGGGAGAATGGAGGGTTCAGGGCAGCGGTTGATGTCTGTGCGCAGTACCTACCGTCACCGGTACCGTCGCTAGCGAGACGGGGAGCTCACGTGTCCTTGGGTTATTCACTCTTCCCTCTTTCCATCGTCTAGCCGACCTGGACGGGTCAAGCCGGTCTCCGTCTGCCAATTCGTCCGTCATCATTTCGATAGTTGCGAATTGTTCCTGACAGAAGAAACAATCCGCCACGCCGACTGATGCCGCGTTGGACCACCTATGGAAGTTGCTGGCTCCAAGTTGATCTCGGGCTTCCATGGTACGGTACCGGTACGGTACTGACACCGGTCCGAGGGTTCCGCGATAGCTCAGAGTCTACCTTCATCGTGTAACTTTTGCAACTCGTTAACGAGGACAATGGTAGGCACGGTATATTAACATAAGAGCCACCTGCATTTAGTTGACGTTGTCCCATGTGTCACGCGCTCATTTCACGGAAAATAATATGCTCATAGTAGCGCGAGGGTCAAGATACCTTACAGTTTAAGTCGAACACTTGATGTTTTCAAGTGCATCTATACTCTACACGCAATTTCACTTGCCAGGCGCCCCACACCAAAAATTTCCGTATCAGGGCAAGCACTGCAAGTACAGTGTAGTGGCTACATCTATAGGAAAAGGCTTTGGACTCTCCGTGCGCCTCAACTGGCTTGACGCCATTCGGACCTCCACGTAGCGCCGAGTATCTGAAGCAAGAAGCGCCTACCAGGGGCCTTGTCACATTACTTTTTTGGGAGGCCCTGTAGGACTTATTGGATAACAAGTCGTCAGCAGTTTCGACCATGTCGAATAGGTCCACTAGCGGAATCACTATACTTCCGTCCCAATCTATTCTCCCCCGCACCCTATATTACGCGAGTCGCATGCAACACCCTGCCACCTAGTTGTAAACAACAACACCAAGAGACTTTCACTAGTCCAAGAGCACATAAACAACCCCAAGAACATTCGGTCAAAAGCTTAGCCTTCAAGACCCGTTTCAAGTTCTCGTTGCACCCTCCTATTCGTCCCTCAACCGCCTACCCTACCTCATCATGCGAGCGAAGTTCGCCTCAGCCCACTATTCCGGAGTATCTGCAATTTGGCCACACCACAATGTTCGCCCCTATGTGCCTCGGGTGATTGATGGAATTTCACTCGGCGACCCTCTTGCAACCTTAGTCGCATGAAGACTATGGAGCCTCTGGGCTTATTCAGGATGCCTTCATTTCCCAGGACGGAACGAGGATCCAACGGACCGTCGAGCCTCCATCCGAACAACTAAACTTCGTCAACGGCGATGTCTTGGGCACTCTTTCTGAGTCGCTGATATTGGGTCAAGTATGGGGCTAGTCTGGCCTCACAGAAATCTCTGTCAGCGAATATGTTTATAAGTCGCTTGAAGCTGTTCAGAACAATTCATCATCACCACCTTTCCACTTCTCTCCAGCGTTGATCTCATTACCATCATGCTTTCTGCTTCTAAAGCCGCGGCCATTCTGGCATTCTGCGCCCACACTGCCTCAGCATGGGTCGTTGGTGGTAAGTGACCTCGGTGCCTCTGGGCAATTACCAGGCTTACGAAACGTCCAACATTCACTAACTGTTGCCTCTGCTCTTAGATCAACAAACCGAGACTCACCCTAAGCTCAACTGGCAGCGCTGTACCGGCAAAGGTGGATCAAGCTGCACCAATGTCAATGGCGAAGTTGTCATTGATGCCAACTGGCGCTGGCTGCACACCGTAGGCGGCTACACCAACTGTTACACAGGCAGTGAATGGAACCAGTCAGCGTGCCCCAACAACGAAGCATGCACTAAGAACTGCGCCATCGAAGGCTCAGACTACGCTGGCACGTATGGAATTACCACCAGCGGCAACCAAATGAACATCAAATTCATTACTAAGGGCCCATACTCCACAAACATTGGCGCTCGCACATACCTGATGAAGGATGAGCAAAACTACGAAATGTTCCAGCTTATCGGAAATGAGTTCACATTTGACGTAGACCTCTCCCAGCTGCCTTGCGGCATGAACGGAGCACTGTACTTTGTTTCCATGCCTCAGAAGGGTCAAGGCGCACCTGGTGCCAAGTACGGCACTGGTTACTGCGATGCTCAGTGCGCACGAGACTTGAAGTTCGTCGGTGGCTCAGCCAATGCTGAAGGTTGGACCAAGTCCGCCTCTGACCCCAACTCCGGTGTTGGTAAGAAGGGCGCCTGCTGGTAAGTTCCCTACCATACATACTCAAGTCTTCTACTGAACACTATGCAGCGCTGAGATGGATGTCTGGGAGGCTAACTCCGCTGCCACTGCCCTTACACCTCACTCTTGCCAACCTGCAGGATACTCGGTCTGCGAAGACACCAACTGCGGAGGCACATACTCCGAAGACCGCTATGCCGGCACCTGCGACGCCAACGGTTGTGACTTCAACCCCTTCCGAGTGGGCGTGAAGGACTTCTACGGCAAGGGCAAGACTGTCGATACCACCAAGAAGATGACTGTCGTCACCCAGTTCGTCGGCTCCGGCAACCAGCTCAGCGAGATCAAGCGCTTCTACGTCCAGGACGGAAAGGTTATTGCCAACCCAGAGCCCACAATTCCCGGCATGGTAAGTCCACCTGTTTCCCGATTATCTCTGAATCTATACTAAGGCTCTCGCAGTCCGGCAACTCGATCACCCAGGAGTGGTGCAACACCCAGAAGAAGGTCTTCCAAGAGGAGGCCTACCCCTTCAACGAGTTTGGCGGCATGGCATCCATGAGCGAGGGAATGTCTCAAGGCATGGTTCTCGTCATGTCTCTCTGGGACGACCACTACGCCAACATGCTCTGGCTCGACAGCAACTGGCCCCGCGAGGCCGACCCCGCCAAGCCAGGTGTCGCACGTGGAGACTGCCCTACCAGCGGTGGTAAACCCTCGGAGGTCGAGGCCGCCAACCCGAACGCTCAGGTCATGTTTTCGAACATCAAGTTCGGTCCCATCGGCTCCACCTTTGCGCAGCCTGCATAGATCATCTTACTACGACACGGTCAAGAAACTTCTTCAAAGGGTGTTGTCACTCGATCCATGCATGCTCTCTGGCCTGCATTTAAGATCCTGATGATGGTTCATGAGATTGTGTAGATAGTTTGCAGCATTGCTGCCTCTTCCATTCGCTTAGAAGTTGTATATATTAAGTCTAGGTTTTCTTCCTACCAGCACCTACACTACAGATCTTGATGACAGGTGAGATCTATGCATGTTCATACCATTGATATGTTTCATTCATGTGCAGTCACTCTGTTTACATACTCAAAGCCGAGCGCATATGTGTCATTCATATACAGTCATTCTGTTCACACATATGCATGGTCGACGTGCGGCTCAACCGCCAACACACAGCACACTTCCATGGAACATCGTTTGCCTCCACGTAATACGTACAACAGGCACAGTCCATCACTGTGCAAACAACTGCTCAACGAGCTATAAGCCTCGCCAGCACCTCACTCTGCTTCGTCCAAGAAAATCATCCTATTCGAAATCCCACCCTTCGCCTTTGCTCACACCGTACAATCTATCCTACGCATCCAATTCCTCCTGCCAACAAATCCCCTCCTGCTCTGCTGGCCGTTCCGCTAGCTACAACCATGTTTGACTTCCTCTACGACTGGTTCTGTAATTGCGCATGTCCATGCCCATGCGATGATTGTGAGGAAGATCAAATGTGCTATTCGTGCTGCAACGGTTATGAGTAGACGAATTACGCAGGTGGGAAATCAGAGACAAATGCTGCAGTTCTGTGGAGCACTCAGGCGGAGAAGAGATTGATTCTCGAGTCTCCAGGCTGGATATCAGCGTTGGGGGGTGAGAAGGTAGACCAATACACTGGAGCGAAATTTGGGCTGCTACGTTACAAGCTCATCACAATACTACTAGGTAACTGATCTTCTAGGAGAGTGAGGGTAAATGTCCATTGATTGTTATTCTGCAGTTGGTCTAGGTTGTAGCGAATAGCATCATAGTCCCGACTTGTGTGCTATGCACCATTTCTTCATGCATTTTCGGTGCCATTGATTGTACCATGTTCTTTTTTAAAAAGGAAAAACCCCCCCATTCTGTTGTGAAACAAAGGAATCAGTGGATCAAGCAAAGGATACACGGCAAACAGGGCGTGCATAGAAGCGTCATGTAGAAGACTCATAGATCAACTTTTCCCAACCCCTTCACGGGAGGTTTGACAATTAGTCACTGTGAGCATATAGTAGGTGAGTCACTGTGAGCAAGCCATGAATTTGAACCATATGTGAGAGATCCATATGTGAGTCATTTGTGAATTGCGGCAGCTATATATTAGGGACCTGTACTGCTTTATTACTCTGCTTTGCGCCTACTACTCAGATCTATACTTCAATTGGATTTCTACTCAACACTCTTGTTTTAGCAAATCATTCCCTTCACAATACATACTGCACATCCAAACTCTTCGGCAAAAAACGCACATAATGACTGCAACACTGCCGTCAATATCGGCCCTCGAGATCATCGAGCTACAGATGATGATATTCAGCAGTCAAGATGGGTCTGACCTCGTTCGCGCCTCACTCGGTATGTACGGGGTGGTGCGAGACAGTCGACTCTTTCCGCAGCGACAAAATCCTGAATTTCAAATTTCCCATGCCACTTACCTCGACAAATTCGCACTTCCAAGAACCGTGCCGAGCATACAAAGACAAGGAAGTAGAATATATTGAGGAAAAACGCAAGTTTGACGAGGCAAGACGCAAGCTAGAGGAGAACTTATGCAAGCTAAAGGGGGAAAGACGGAGGCTAAAAGAGGAAATACAAAAGCCAGAGGATGCGAGGACGGCCAATCCTAAGTCTTCGGTCTCTATCGTCGTTCCGAGGAATACACACGGTGTTGAGGAAATACCCGTGCTAACAGCCATGCGCAAGATCGATCTCGCTCACCTACCCAAGATCAAAGCCGGCCACACACGTATCCGTGTCGAATACGAGGACTATTTCGACGCGCTACATGATCTAAGCGCGACATTCCAGGGCGTCCGCTTGCCCCATGGTTGGCCTCGCGGCCTCAACAACATCTATTGTGAAATTTGCGAAAGATTCCACACACGCTTACGGTTTGAGCATCTCCATCCAGCCGTGCGATTCTTGGAAGACGCAAATATTTGTATCCGTGGGCAGGGGACAATTTTGCTCTTCAGGTTTTGCATGTTCGATACTCCCGAAGCGCAGCGATCCTGCTACGATCATTACTGTAAAGAGACGATTGTATTTGCAAAGGATCTGATCAAGGCCGTCCATTCGATGGACAGTGGTGGCTTCAGTACAAAATCTTTTCGAGTCCGATTACGACCAAGCTTATCACACCGTGCGGTATGATTGAAGATTCTAATGGTCTGACGTTAGCAACTGTTATACCCTTCCTGGTGGAGAGTTTCAACGACCATGTCTACAGACATGTTGAGGAGACCCGCACTTGCATGTCTACCAGTATTGAAGGTTCATGGTTCCACTTTAATATAGACTCATTTTACCTTAAAGGACTTGTTTAGGCGGAGCACAATAAGAATAATAACATATTCCAGGAACACAAGGGCAGATTTCATGAGATAGTGGCAATGGTCAATCAGGCAGCAATCACCGTGGACGAGTTGATGAGCGGAATGGACATATGGCGCCCGGTTTCCATGGAGGACTCTGACTAGAATAATAATATTGAATACAAAGCACAAAATTTGCTCTACAAATGGCCTTTCCAACGATAAACACAATTGCCTAACTAAATACGGTTATACTCTGCAAGGTAACTTAACAATTCTGCCACAGCGAAGCATACGTAAATGTACACTTGACCAGCGAAATTTGATTGACTATATCAGCCAGCTTATGTAAGAGTACGCTAAATTCTTAACCATGAGTATCCTTACAACCCTCTGAAATATACTGATCCACTTTAGAGTCAAGCTTCTCTAAGTTAGTGATGAGTTCCATAAGTTCAAGGTAAGCACTACCGTAGCAGCTTTATCTGACAGCTGATGTTCCAGGCTAAAGAGAGCCTGCCTACAGAGTGCACAAGTGGTGACATGCTGTTTGATCTGCACGTCCAGGCAAACTGCACCTTGAACGTGCCCACACTTGCTCTTGACAGCAGGCTTAATTTGCGCTTCTTTAGAGAAGTTGAGGCTGAAGTTGTAAAAACATACAGGGCAGCGCTGGTCTATTACGTCCTTTTCTTCTATTGCCTCTTAACTGTATAGAATAGAGATAGTCTGTAGATTCAGGCGTTTTGGTTGCCGCGGAGAGCCTGGAAGTTTAATCTCAGCCTGTTGGTCAAGTTGGTATTGGACCTTATCCAAGTCGAGCTGTAGGTGGTACCGAGTATTAAGGAGGTAGGCGACGTGGCTTCTAAACATGATCTATTCTAGTGGCCAACACGCATCAAACTCTGGATTGAGACACTTGGGCAGCGACTTCTCTTGCAGTAGCTGCATGAGTAATTTACCACGCTCTGACTGTTCTTCTGTGACAGGATTCCATTCCCAGGGATATAGTTTCAACACCTCGCTCGGCCCTAGCTTGAGGACTGCGCAGCGCACGGCTATCGCTATGGTCTTCGCATTACAAGATTTGTATGGAGAATTGCATCTAGTAGCAGCGTATGGAAAGCTCGGTATTGCGAACATTGGCTTACCTTCTGCACGATGGCAGATCGTGCGAGTAGTAACATGGGGCCGATGAGTGCCGAGTGGTCGTGCGTAGAACGATAATAGTCAGAGGCTTCTTCGACCGCTTTTTGAATGTGGAAAAAGGTAGTGATGAGTGTTGAGATCTCCTGGAAATAGCGTCTAGCTTGTGAGTGGCTTAGTAGATAAAACAATTACCCAATGCAATAGATTGGACCACGCCAGCCAATTGGGGGTTATTGAGGACGTCTATGGCAAGAAAAGATGCCCCAACACCGTTTAGAATTGCGTTGAACAATTCTCGGAAGCAAGACACCATCCCACTGGCGGTCTCATGGATCTGGAGATCGGTTTCATGCAGCGCGTGATGCCCGTCCCAGGCGCAAGGCTCTGAAATGATCATGGACATGTTGGCGTGTCTGAAAGTTCTGTTAGTTGAGATAGTGGCTGAGTAAACAAGAAGGTTGAGGAGGAATGATGACATAGAGAAAATAGATTCGGGCCAAAGTCGTGAACCTTTATATAATGTGATCAATGGATTCGCCGTACATTCGCCATGCCGCTGCGGATCACAATGACAGATTGAAACACGCCGGTTGTTGAAACACAAGTGAATTGACATTAGACATTTTCGAGCCACCGAATCTATTTTATGTAAGGACAGGAGTGCCATGAGGATGTGACTTTGATGAGCTCTTCTAGTACGACGATGATTTGTGTTTCTTGCTGCTTCTGTGGGTAACAAGTAACATGACCCAACACTCGTTTGACCATACATAGCATGGAGAGGCAAATACAGGCAGCTATGCCTTGGGCACCTCGTCCGCCCAAGGAATACTGGATTGTGCGCCAGCTTTCTGAACCGTCATGGAGGCGGCGCGATTCGCACGTGCAATTGCTGCATCCAGATCAAAGTCGGCCCCACGTGACATGGAAACCCAATGTGCCACGGCAACAGTATATGCACCGGCAAAAGTATCGCCGGCTGCAGTCGTGTCTACAACTTTCACTTTCCTAGCAGGCACGATATGGCCGGGCTGATTCTCGGATTGTTGCTTCGAAGTTTTGTAGAACACGCCCTATAGTGAGGATCAGTACTATGGAATATCAAAGTTGCAAGGGAAGGAGTATACCTCGCCACCAAGTGTGATGATAACGTTCTTGACACCGCGTGCGATGAAGATAGCAGCCACCTCGTCCCAGGAGGTCGGGTTCTCGATACCAGAAAGAGTTGCTGCTTCTGTTTCGTTGACGATCAGATGGCCAAGTCCCTGATAGGCCTCCTCTGGCAGTGGAATAGCTGGTGCAGGGTTGACGATGGTCTCGACCCCCTTTTGTCTGGCAGTCTTCATATTATACAGCACCTTGTAATATATTAGTTGCAGAACGAATTTATCAGATCAAACATGAGTACACATACCACCTCCAATGGTAATTCCAGCTGGAATAATGCCACACTCGCATCCTCATCTACCAGATCCTTAACCTCGACGTCATAGTTCGCTCCAGGAGAGAACATGATTCGATTCTCTCCTGTGCTCGTCTCGACCACAATAACTGCAACACCGGTCCTTTTCCCCTTTAGAATCTGTACCTTATCCGTTTTCAGCCCGTCTTCTTTCAACGCCTTCAAGAAACCAGTGTGAAACTCATCATCACCAACAGCACCGACCATGCGAACCTCTACGTCTGATGCCTCGCCAGCGGAAGCTTGTTTCGATGTTCTTGAAAGACGGGCACATGCGACTGCCTGATTTGCGCCTTTGCCTCCCCATCCAATAGAGAAAGATTCACTCGTCAGTGTCTCGCCGCCAACTGGGACCCGCGCGGTACGGGTGACAAGGTCGACATTTAGGGAACCAATGACAGATATGACAGCTGGCTTTGGTGACATGGTGATAGATAGCGTATATCTGTAAGATTGCCGTCTGCTATTCCTCAATGATGTGATACGAGGTTGATGTGTATCATGTGTATATAGTTCGCACACACGTAAGGTGGTATGACAGCCCTTCCCAGAGGCGCAATTTCGGCAGCGCTAGTACACGCTAGCCGAGCACCTATGTTGCCTCTGATTGGCTATCGCCAGAGGCGTTGCTTTCAAAACGCTGACATATCCATACTTTCACCACAACATAATGAGTCGAATTTTTGTTGTTATCGAACAGGTAGCTTCGATGGTATTGGTAAGATAGTTGTGAAGCGTATTACTGTGCATTTGACTCAAACTCAATGATTTGATGTCCGGCTAGCGGATACGCCTGTGTGGTATATACTCTGCTCATCTTGCAAGTCTTTCAGCTCGAAATCAAACCCTTGCTTATCTTGTCTGTTTTGAGGCGCAAAAGGAGCCTGACTTCGATCGGATGAGCCATCGTGTAACCTCTCCAAATCCTCGTCCGACGTTCCATCATGCGCACTGTTCAGGCTAAAAGCTCCACGTTGTGGCTGGCTGCCAACGGTGAAGAAACTAGGGCGTTGTGGCACTGATCGTTTGCTGGGACCTGAGCTGCTGCCACCATGTTCCTGTCGAAACTTCCGCAATGAGGGCACTGAAGAAGCGATGCATGCTACCCCAGTTTCAATGTTCGAACATAGCATTGTGTGCGCTACCCAGACTAGTGCAAAGTGTCAGTATTTGCGATTTACTTGGTATTAAGAAAACATGACTCACATTGTAGGTCTGTTAGCCCTTCAAATTTGTTGACATAAGGTATACGAACCATCGTGATGATAGATGCACTTTGTATCATTAGTTGCAGCGTCAATATGTTGGAAATTAAATTCTGTGCCATAGAAAACACTTACACCGAAGCAAAGGAAAGCAGGCCAAATGCTTGTAGCTTTGCCTGTTTCTTCATCTGCGTATTCCATAATATGATAGCCGGAACAACAACAAGAGCTAGATCTGTGACAATTGTCGAAACTGTTGCGACGTGGCCAATGACAACGAAGGTGTCCACTGGCGCACAAGTGGCTTTCCCGCTGATGATGAGTTGAGGCATCCAGATAGCTTGTACGGGACGACAGTATGTAAGGGTGCCGACAAAGGTGACGAAGAACGAAGCCCAGGTGATCGCCAGGAGTACATATACGGTGATGCGAAGGTTGAGCTTTGTGGAAGCGATGCGCATGATAGTAATGCAAATCGAGGACTTCACTGTGGCGAGCGCGAGAACGTAGGTCAATATCCATATAATGTAGTACTCCAGAGCTTCAGCGCTTTGCCATGCGTTCAAATCTGCCTGAAGCCTTCCCAGGCCAACAAGGACACCATATATTGCGAGGCCGGTCGCGGCTGTGTACGCAACCTAAAGCTCGCGTTAGCCAGTGCCCATTATATCCCTTGCGTCTGAATGCTGTGAGGTCGAGCGAGATGGAGCAAACTTACAGTACCAGCAATGATGAATGCATCGTCGAGGCCAAATGTTCCCTTGGCCAATCGAGTGTATGTACGAAGAGCTACAGTTATGGCCGAAAGAATCCAGAAGGCTGAGGATATAACCAAGATTGCTAGCGGTAGACCATCCGGCCAGATAAGTGTCTGATTGGGATCGATTTGCCCAGGCATGGACATTTGAACTATCGTACTGCTCTGGGGGATTTGCGACCTCGAGTTGCTAGCAACGCCAGCCTGGAGAATGCCTTCACCTAAAAGAAGGAACAGTCGGCTGCAGAAGTGGCACTTTTCATCGCAGTCTTCTGTCACCGTGCACTTTTATTGTGGAGTCGAAGATTTGCCGGTAACCTGGTAGAAGCCCAGAACAGGTGGACAGGAGACGAGGCCGGCATAAGGCAGCGAAAAGAACCTTGCATTGCGTACGGTAAGAATGATCCCAAGTTTCAAGAACCATTCTCGCTTTGACTTTTGTTGCGCCTTCCTAAATTCGACGTTACCAACTGTGCCGCACATAATAGACCCACTATTACCATACCGGCACAGTGTCCTGAATTAGGCAATGAATAGCGGCCGCTAGGTCAACGACGTCTCGTCACGGGTGGCATGGCGGAGCGCGTCCCGATGAAACGCAGTAGAAGCAGCCCATTGGATCGTCGTTGTTGAAAATCCAAGGCACTACAAAAGTCATAGGCGCCCTCCCGCGGCATCATCATTGCATTCGAAATCCTAATGTGTATCCATGACTCGCGTTCAGGATATGCTCGGGTACTGGGATCCGAGTCAGTTGTACTGACTACCTAATAGTACCTAATCTTGGCGTGAGCTGAACATTGAGAAGTGCTCATTCAACAGTGGCGATCAAAACGCCCTGGACAGATTTTACCGACACAAAATCAGAGAGACTGGCCAATGAATGTGTATTCTTTGGTAGAGTGTTGCAAGCATTCGCCAGCGAAATCAGTCAACAGTGTCAAAGTCATGGCCCCCTTTTTAGTCATTGGATGATGAAGTTTATCACGTTTGATGACCAGATTTTAGTAATCCTTTGTAATTGAAGTCTATGCAAGCGCAGGCCAGGCTTAATAACCGTGTCTTGAATGACTCGAAAAAATTCATCACTCAATGACTACACGCACGCCCTTGTTATCCTTGGTGCAGGGTACAAACATGTCGTGGTGGTATCGAACATCATCCTCGCTCGTGTCAGAAAGATGCATATGAGGGATAACACGGAGTACCAGAGCCGCAAGACATAGATGGAGTTCGCACAGAGCAAGACTTGTACCCAAAGTTAGTTGAGACGGCCTCCACGAGAGAGATGGACTTACTTCATGCCCAAGCAGGACCGACTCCCTCTGGAGAAGGCAAGCATTCCTTTCTCAACATCCTTTCTACGTTGATTATTTTCATCTAACCAGCGTTCTGGAATAAACGACTCTGATTCTGGGAAAGTCCTCTCATCATGATGCGTAACAAAAGCGGACATGCCTATGGCATAGCCTCGGGGAAGTACGTATTCGACAGACCGCTTGTTCCATTCTCCGCGGTATAAAAGATTTTCCTCGGTTGGGACACGAGCTGTGCGGCTGGACACACCATAGGAGAGCCTCAACCCTTCTTGTATCACAGCGCCCAAGTACGGCAAAGTCTCGAGGACGGGCCATGGTGGCGATTTCCGTGGGTTGTCCACCACAGTTTGCAGCTCAGAAGTAAGTTTCTGTAGAATAGCCGGCGCCATCAAAAGGTGGTAGGTGATGACTGACAAAGCCCAACTTGTGGTCTCAGTCCCGGCGCCAACAACCGCCGCAGCTTCATCAGCCAGGCGTTGTGGCTCTTTATCAAGTAAATCTAGGTCTGAACGGAGCAGGGATCCAAAGATTGTAGGTCGCTCATATTGAATCCCGGCATCTAGATCAGCTTTTGCTTTTAGTACTCGATTGGGCAGATCAATCTGCAGCGTACGCACGAGTAGTGCAATATCTTTAGGCATATAATTGACAAGATACTTGCCCAATCCAATACTAGCTTTGGTCCATGGGAAGAAGCGAAAGATGAAGACTGGCCGGAGGATCGAAAGAGTCGGTTCACGGAAGTTGGGATACCAGCCCTTTTGATCCAGCAGACCGAACGATTCACCGAAACAATAGCCTGAAATTGCATCCGATGTGAAGCAGCTGTATGCTGTGGTGATGTCAAAAGCTTTGCCTTCTCCCGCTTGTGCAAGCAGCTTGTCACAAAGCTTCTGGACAAGGCCATGAACTTGAGGCTCAAGCTGAGAAATCATAGCACGGGAGAAGAACTTAGACAGAGGGATACGTCGCAGCCGATGGAGGTCGTGATCCACAGTACCAAACCCTGATTGACCAACTCTGCAGGTGAATTTAGACATTAGATGCTCAATGCAAAAAGCTGCGAGGATATACGAGGTGGCACTTACGCCGAACCATTGATTTGGTGCAGAGGCTTGTCCCGCTTTCGACCACCCACAGCGTATATCTCATCGGCGAAGCCGACATCACTGCAATGCACTTCATTTGGATTTATGCGCACAATTGGACCTAGGTACTAGTCAGAATCTTTCTCGACGAGCAAAACACATGGAAAAACTTACCATATTGGGCATGAAACTTCCTGATCTCCTTGGTGTAACCTCCAAATCTCACAACGTCGTGATAAAACTCTGGCAAGTATGTTGCAGCAGCCAATTTGGGTCCAGGAATACCGCTCAGAGGATGCAATGGTGAGATGTTATAGAGAGCCTGCAGGAGTTTGAAGATTATCCAGATGCCGACCAACCCAAGGATCGTAGGAGCCATGATGGATGATGAGCTCGACAGCGAGAACAGGTCTTGTACTGCCATGATACCAAAAGATGAGAGGATAGGAGAATGTTGTCGCATGCGTGGAAAATGGGGTTGGCTGTCTTCACATGCATGTACCCAATCGCGGAATGAGTTTGTCGGCGCAGCATGCAAATAGAGTTAACCATCGCACAACCCTGACTGTCCAAGTGGGAAGCCCCCCCGGCTGGCTTTTCCCTTGGGCTAACACGCCATCGCGGAAGAGGCGGTCGAAGCCGCCACTGGACCAGGGTTCCACTCGGGTAGTGAGTCGTGTAATGCCTATATACATAGGTGGTACGGTAGGTGCACATGTGTACTTTGTATGTAGTGCTGTGGCACAGTTTGTACCGTACTGTTGAAGGTGAGGTACCGGTATCCCGTGCCGAGACCATCAACACTTTCCAAGGTTTCCAATCGGCGTCCGGCCTTTTCATTGTACCAGCAAGATTCTGAGCAAGCCGCTCTCGGCAGGGGACACGTTCGGTGCTGCAAGCCCGCTCTCTACGTCGGAAATCATCTGCCCTTATTACCTCATCCGAATCCTTCGAGAACCAGCTGATGCGCTTGCCACTTGCGCTTGCTTGTATTCGTCGTTGGGCCGGCCAAGTCATCGTGAAAGGGGAGACCTTCACTTTGGTTCCTATACCTAGTCATTCAGGGCCATCAGTGTTCCCGCGACATCAATGGCGAACCTTTCTACGATACCATGAGCGCACCAAACGAAACCACTGTTCAATCCATCAGCCATGCACGATCCACTTCAGCAGGATCCCTTCATCACGTGGCTGCTGTACTACCCTTACCTACGGTACTACGGGCGGAGCGGATACCAGTACCGTCCCTCAAGCATGCACGATCAACGACTGGAAAAGTCCCGGAAAGGAGGAGCCATGAAATGCCTAGATACACGCGGAGAAGTCCACAAGTCTCCCAACGTTGAATGGGTAGGTTGCAGATGATGTTGTCGTCTGACCTGGGGAGAGAACATGAGCGGAATCGTTTCCGGTACCGGGACCGGTAGGTAAAGATGTGCGCAAGGTGGGCCTGGAGCAAGATCTTCGCTTCTTTCCCTACCACTCGACTTACTTGCAGGACGTGTTTGACTACACCGCTTCAAATTGCACAGCGACCACTTGAATGTATTATTTGCAGAATGTCGTACCAAGCTATTGAGACGCAAACGCTCGATTCGGACTCTTCACCACCAAAGTCCAGCATGTGGCGGTCCCTATGGAACGACAACAAAGGAGCATGCCTTATACTTCTGGCGGAGCTGGCTGGGGCCTCGATGGATGCTATGGCCCGCTTTCTTCAACAGGGCGAAACCAAGTTCCATCCCTTCCAGGTAATTACCTTACAAAGCTCTCACGTCTTCACGGACAAGGCAGCTCACACGTTGTCATAGGTAATCGTCGCACGGATGGGCATCACGTTCATCTTGAGCAGCGCATACATGTGGTGGAAGAAGGTTCCCGACTTTCCACTTGGTGCTCGTAGTGTGCGAGGATGGCTGATCTTGCGCGCGTCATTTGGCTTTGGTGGTCTGTATTGCTTATATTGTGAGTCAGCCACTGCTCTCGGCCATGGGCCAAAGCTCATGGGTCACATACAGACTCTGTCCACTATCTGCCTCTGGCGGAAGCGACGGTATTTCGATTCTTGGTTCCCATCGTTACAGCTTGGGCGTGCTCGGTATTCCTAGGGCAGACTTTCACCCGAAAGGAACTTATTGCCGGCCTTGTCGCCCTGCTGGGAGTAATCATCATCGCGCACCCACCATGGCTCTTTGGTGAGGTAAACGATGAGCTTCATCCCAAGAAACCCTCGGGTATCGACAAAGTCACTCCTGCGCAACGCTTTATTGCTATCGTTGTGTCCATCTTAGGTGTTGCTGGAGCTTCTGGAGCGTACACCATGATACGCGTGATTGGAGATCGAGCACATGCGCTGATTTCTGTCAATTATTTTGCGCTTCTTGCCACGGTGGGCTCTACCATCGCCCTCCTCGCGATTCCAGGCATTGGTTTCCAAGAACCGCAATCCGCACGGGATTGGATATTGCTCGTTGCGATGGGTGTGCTTGGATTTGTTTTGCAGTTTCTACTGACTGCCGGCCTTCAACTTGATAAGAGCAGCAAAGCGACGAGCATGTTATATGTTCAGATCATCTTCGCTCTTGCATTCGACTGGGGTATCTGGGGAGTCATTCCAGGTGCATGGAGCATGTTTGGTGGTGCAATCGTGATTGCAAGCACTCTATGGAGTGCACTGCAGAAGCCGCGCGGAACTGTGGCAAAGAGCAAGGATGAGCCAGACGAGGAAAGCGCACTACTTGGTCCGGATACACAAGGGAGCCATGAGGCTATTCGTCGGGCAAGCGTCAGCGCTGAACGTTAACCCTCAGTGCTGCGTCCTGTGAAGCCATGGGCAATCAGGAAGGAGTTAAGGGAGTTGCTATTGATGTAACGAAGCACCAAGCAGCGAAACGAACCATAAAACGAACCATCAACTCATTATTAAAGTCCGGAGTCTATTCAATGCACTCTATGACTATGCTAATTGAGAAGTTAGAGTACATATACCGTTCTCCGTTGAATTCAGCAACGTAGAAATGCAACCCAGTATAAAAATCATTCATCTAAGAATCTTTCATGAGCTCCGCATATGATGTGGATAAACTATCAGGGCTGGAATCGATGATCAAGCTCAAATGTGTTAAAGGAATGGTCGTGCAGCTGCACACATAGCGAGGCATTCTGAAACTTGACCTCGAAGAAACCTTCGACACCGGCCTACAGCCAAACGAATTGTCGAATTACTTAGCCCAGGGGAGAGGGGGCACCATCGATACTATTAAGTTTATCGGTACAACAATTGCCAGGCGTTCTAGGGCTTGGTATTGCAACAACACGTGGCTCAGGGACCCGTGGCGGAGTCGGAGCAAGGACAATCAGGTAAATGCGATCAATTCAACCAAAAACAATACGACTATTCAAAGTGTACCAGTTCAACATCACGTGAGTAAATCCATTCTGAAGTGCGGAGCACTGTTAACCAATATAAAGTATATTTGCCCTATCTTGCACTGTGAGAACAACATACGCGCATGTGCAACGGCTCATCCTTCTCCCTGTGTTTGTATCAACAACACTGGTCTGGGGCTCAAGCGCTCAGCTCTTAGACACATTATGGTCACTCTTTCTCCTTCAACTCCACCTTGCTCATTAGTCGCCTCGGCATATCTTGCATGTCCTGCAAGTCAGCAAGTTTCCTTGGTTAGAACTCGTAGAGGCCGCTGAAGAGTAGCCGCCATGTACCGAGGGCGCGCGCGCTACCATAGGTCCAACACGCAAGGCCTGTTGTCTATGGCATATTTACCCTGAGGGCTGTGTTTTCCCATAAAGCCATTGACTAGAATGGGTACCGTCACAAATAGTGTATTCGGCTGGGTCACTGTGTGACTCGAGACTAACGACGCGACTATGATCCGCCAAGCGACGCCGCGTGCCTGGAATAGCATAGCGGACACGCGAGGGGAGGCCATGGTGGAGAACGTGGAGCACCAAATCCTCGTGGTGCGTAACCATCCGCGCCTATCTCCACTTTTTGAACGGTGATAAAATACCGAAGACCCCAATGAGGCGCAAATGTGAGACACAAAAAAGGTGTGATTCTACAGGCAGCATGCATATACACTACGTGAGGGAGGAGCTGTAACCTTGTTGCCAACACCGACAAGTTGCATGAACAGAGCCTTGTACACATGACTCTCCATCCCAACAGTGTATCGAATCCTCGCAATATAGCAGTATCCACCGACCGGCCAAGGACAAGACAAAACATGGTGCAGCCCCTGAACTACAGTGGTGCAGTCAGTGACATGTTTACTACCTCAGCACACTTACTTTGACGGAGAATCGGGGCGCCCCAACAAAGATCTGGCCCGGAGAAGAACATGGTAGCCGAAGAGCTCAGTTTGTTTCGCTTCTGAACGAATGAATGATAGGTACCGGTACCATATATCTCCTCCATCAGACAAAATTCCACGATCATTACGGTACCCCTTTTGTCCATGCGCACGGACTTAGTTTGACGCCCACACGACGTCTCAGGACGGCACGGTGGTACCCTATGGTATCCGCTTCTGTGTCCAGTTCAAGGTTAAACCCTTTTGCAGACACACCCCGACAGCCGGAATCATTGGCAACTCCCCACTCATTAGCGACATTCACTGGAGTAAAATACGCAGAATTTAAGCATCTTCGGCCATTGAAGCTCTTGCATCGCGTTGCAAAGCAGAAGATATCATCATATTTGTCAAATCTGCTGCAATGCGGCAAATTATCAGTACATGCCAATGGCGTGCGCTTCTTCCTTCGGTTCTTTTACCAGCTTGGCAGCCTCAATTCCTCACGATGGTAGTCTGTGAGCGGGTGGATTGATCGTATACTGAAACGATGAGTCTAACATCTACGCTCGGACTCCGATATCTTGGTGTCATGAAAGGAGAGTTTGAGTATTATACTGGTACTCAATATTTTTTAGTTTGACCAAACCAACTACCAAAGCTCACAACCGTTATACGGTATGAAGGCATACTTACCAGTTGGCTTTTGCAGATCGGGCGGAGTTTAGCTACGATAATTCGACTATCGCCACTCTGTTCCGTATTGAACAACCGCATGGGGCATGAGAAGGGGAACTTCTTCGATATTACTCTGTATTTGTACCCCAAGAAGCCCAGCCTGAAACTCCGATCCATCGACGATGTGGCCTTCTGAATAGCCAGGTACATGGGAACCAGTTGGCGACGGATCGATCACAGGGTTGCCACGATACGAGGCTTGACGACCATGCGTAGATGTGGCTGCGCCTGGGCTGGGCTTAGGCTTGGTATATTTACCAGATTGGTTTCCCATTCTGCGATTGACTTCGAAAGTACGTTCTAGCGTTCCAATTCTATCATACTTTCGCCTAGTTGGGAGATAAGGGGAGGGAGGCTAATAGATGTAGAGGAATATATATCAAGCTTGGGCTACAATGGAGAGGCGTTGTCAAACCAGTCTGCTCCTTCATCATGGCAGTTTTTAGTTCTCTTGTTTTTCTTTCTGCAGTCACTCTTTTCCCCACAGTCCACGCTCTCAACGCTTGTCCTAGTGCCGATACCGTCTTCACAGGCACGTCAGGCATTCGCTATCGCATCTGTCCCAATACCGACTTGACAGGCGGATCCCAGGAAATACTCCGCAATGTCGCATCTGTCACAGCATGCGCGCAACGATGCGATACGGCTATGAATTGCTTTCAAGCGGTTTACGATACACAGACCAAGGACTGTCACTTCAAGGCCTTCGCGGGCCTGAATTGGGTGGACAATGGTCGTTACGATGTTATTCAAGCTGAGCAGATCAACATTGCCAGATGCCCGTACAATGAAGCTACCTACACTAATAATGGCGTGAGTCCATATCACACCATCGAGATCAACAATCCTGACATTATATTGCAGAAAACTTTCAAAATTTGTCGTGATACCGACATTCGTGGTCCAAGCAAGCAGATGTTTAACGGCGTAACTGCACTCAATGACTGTGCACAACGCTGCTCGACCATTGATACTTGCGTACAAGCTGTATATGATGCAACTGGTCAGATCTGCCATATTAAGGCAGACGCTCGCACAGCTACCGGGATATGGTCCACTGACAAGCGATTCGATGTCATCCGTCTATATGTACCCCCAGCTCCAGCGGCAAATGGCGCGTGGTCCGATCTTATTCGTCTCCCAGTCATTCCAGTCGCCGCTTATGTAGTACCTGAAAATCCAACTGCGCAAAGACTTCTTGTATTTTCTAGCTGGGGGGCTGACTCTTTTGGAGGAGAGGGTGGGCGAACACAATTTGCTGATTACAATTTCAACTCGTGAGTACGTTATGCGCCGACGATTTCGACAATCCTCTGATGGTCGTATACATGTAGTGGCGCAGTGTCCCCACGTACCGTTGCGGATACAAAACACGACATGTTCTGCCCCGCTATCAGCTCCCTTCAAGATGGTCGCATCTTGATTCAAGGCGGCTCGGACGCGGCTAAGACAAGCTTCTACGATCCAAAGACGAATGCCTTCTCGGCTGGGCCTGACATGGAGATGGCGCGTGGATACCAGACTTCCGTCACCCTCTCAGACAACCGGATCTTCACCATTGGTGGTGCATACTCGGGTCCACGCAGGAGTAAGGACGGCGAAGTTTACGACCCTGCCAGTAACAGGTGGACTGCGTTGCCTGATGCGAAGGTTGCCCCCATGCTTACGACTGACGCCGAGGGTATTTGGCGTGAAGACAACCACGCATGGCTGTTCGCCTGGAAGAATGGATCTGTCTTCCAGGCTGGACCAAGCAAAGCTATGAACTGGTATGGTACCTCTGGCCTGGGTACACAAACTGCTGCAGGTATACGCGACCCCATTGATGATGCCATGTGCGGTACTTTCGTCATGTATGAGCCCGGCAAGATCCTATCCGCAGGAGGCTCTCCTGATTATACAAATTCAGATGCCAATGCTCGCGCCCACATCACCACCATCAACAACCCTAACGCCCAAGCCACTGTTGAGCGTGTACCTGACATGGCCTACCCTCGCGGCTTTGCCAACGCCGTAGTTCTCCCAGACAGTACTGTGCTCGTGACTGGTGGTCAACGCCGCTCCATGGTCTTCACGGACGACGATGGTGTCCTTTATGCTGAGCTTTTCAACCCAACCACGAAAACATGGAAGACACTTGCTCCTGAAGCTGTACCCCGCAACTATCACTCGGTCAGCATCCTTCTCTCAGACGGCCGTGTCTTTAGCGGGGGCGGTGGACTCTGTTACATTGGCAGGGTTGGCGCCAGCTCTGTGAACTGCAATAAATTGGTCGACCATGCCGATGGCCAGATCTTCTCGCCTCCTTACTTGTTCAATCCAAATGGTACACCAGCGACACGTCCTGTTATCTCCACACTATCTTCCACGACCGTCAAGGTCGGTGGACAATTAATCGTCGGGATAGGGACAGGTGCGGATGATCTGAAGTTTGCACTTGTCCGCATCGGCAGTGTCACACACTCTGTCAACAGCGATCAGAGGCGTGTGCCGCTGACGCGCATCAGCCGCAGTGAAGCACAGTACTATGTCACTTTACCGAGTGACAGTGGCGTCCTTATTCCAGGAGCGTACTATCTTTTTGCCATCAACGCACAGGGTGTACCGAGCATCGCGAGGACAGTACAGATCTTGTTATAAAATCCGATTTGACTACTGAATGACGCTGTGGCCGCTACGGCAGCGTCGCAGCATCATAGTATTGCTTTGATAGCGTTGGCCCTGGCGATAGACTTTGCACTTTATACGTGACAGTCTATGCGCTTCGGAATCATCCCCTCCTTCACTCAAAGATACCGCATATTTCTTATTATATTGTCTAGTGTTATTAAGTCACTTGACTCAGACATCTCCTGGTCCTGAGCCGAACAATTTACGTCTGTTCGTATACGTTCACCGCGTTAGTGCGCGTGTCGGCCGCTATATCCGCCCGAACTAAATCTTTCGTTTCAAGTTTATAATTAGAAATGTAATACACCCTACGGTATAGCCTTGGATCATCTCAACGCTATGGCAACAACCTGCATATCACAGATGTTCATTCACGTCATCCATTCAAGGCCTGTCTCACAGATCTAGCGCAAGAGGACAGCATGCTCTCACTGCATTTTAATGCAAGCCACCATGGTGAGATTCGATACAGGTCTCAAGTAGACTATCTCTCTACATACCTAGTCGCTATATTCTTTGGTGCCAAGTGACGACGACCTCGATGAGGGCGGGATCCACTGTTGATTTCTCCTTTTCGAACCACCCTATGCGGGTTCAAGGATTGATCAGGAAGTCATGCGTGTATTCTTTATTCTGTACCATCCACTGTTGCTTAAAGGTGCAATTCTGCTCGCGGGTGACAATAGGATGAGATCCACGGGATGTGTATGCTCATGATGAGAAAAACTTCGAAAAAGTATTGTTCAACGCCTCAGTAGACGCATTCATCTTCATGACTCCGGTTGAATAGATGACTAAGTAATCTGTGCAATTAATGGGTACCATTCCAAATAGTCCACAAGTCTAGACACAATGTCAAAGCATTACATAACAGACACAGGCCGACTTCTGAGGTAAAGATATCTCAGGTTTAAAGGTGAAAACGCCACCTTGTGTCATATCAGCCAAAGTCCAGCTTTCAAGGCATTCTATTCGCCCCCGACTCTTGTCACTGTCATGGGTTTGCGAGCCACCCAAAGGACTCCCAGAACCTGGGTAGAAAGGTGCGTAGATTGTGTTTGCTTTTTTACTGACTCATGCATTGAACCTGAGCGGTGAATGATCGGAAATGACCTGCAGAATTGATCAGCATCCTCCATACTTCTCCGTGACGTCAAAGCATCGGCCGCTACCAACATGCATATGGAAGAAGTATTGGCCATTGACCAACTACGGGTTCATCCAGGTATTGCA